CTCCTCCGCTCCATGACTCTCGCTGTAGAGTCTGAAGCCTTCGTTAGACCCTACAAGTCAGGACGAAGGTATTGTTAGTCTTCATAAATATCAACGTTGTTCTAAACCTAAACCTACTTTGTTTTTGACGGGCTTGCCTATGGGTGTATGCGAGACCAGTAGATACGTTTCTACAAAAGAGTGGGTTGATATTTGGTTACGTGATTCACATGGTTGTCAAGTGTTAAGGTGACCCAGCAACTTAGATGGGAATAAGTGGGCAGTTCGTGGAGGAATTCAGGAGGTAGTGGTGTGTGATCAAATCATATCGTACAATCTCCTCCACATTCACGAAAACCCCACTTCTGTAATGTCTGAAATCTTTTATTTCATATTGCCGGCATATTTTTACCAATTAAGCATTAGAAGGCCAGAGTTAATGGGTTGGCAAAGCGCGTAAAATAAAGGTTAAAATCTAATAAAACTTACATCTGTGCCCCTTCCGCTCACAGTCCCACTGGGTCGTCATGGTTAGTCTGAGGGGGAGGCAGAAAAATAACAAATGTTATAACGAAGCTCTTCATATATTATTCTATGTATGATAATGTATTTCCTTCCTGTTTTAGACATGCGAATACAGTTACGGCAGGATTGCAAACAAATCGACGATATATTGTGTGTAACTATTATTTTGTTTAAACTGGATACCTGTTGGGAAACTTGAAGAAACAAGGTAGGCCCCAAACCCTCAGTATTCTTCACGTCTTTAACAATATGTGTCTCGCCTTTTATTTCTGTCTACTAGCTTCACTTGTGTGAATTAAGCTGTTGTCCCTCACGTACAGTACAACCTAGAAGGTTACGTTATGCTCCACAGAACACGGAATCCTTTAAAGAATTGAACACAGACATCATAACCCACCTAACACCTGTTCTACTCCACCCAGAGATCAAAACAACAGATTTCTTCGCTAATCTCAGTTTTTTCGTGGAAAAATTTGCTCAACCGTACCATTTTTGTTAAAGGCCACAGTTTATGTGCGGCTAACGTAGGAAGATCACTCTTTAAACAATAAGGTTATTTGCAAGTTCATGCCCGAGGTATAATCGCAACATGAAAACATATATAGAAAGGGTATACAGACAGTGCAAACTAACACTTGTGACATGTGGAACAAGGGACTATTCCAAGAAGTGGTCATTTAAAAATTACGTGACTGATTGACCCAAATATTCCCCCATCTGTCCGTGAAGACGTGTTTTACACACAGAGACTGTCGCCTGTTCTATTGTTAACTTCTTGTCGTGCCGGTTTTCGGACTACGCTAATCGGCAAGGAATGCTGTCTAAGGTTGTTACAGCTCATATAAGCAAGGTTTATGGTTGGGAAAAAGACCCCTTTCTGAAGAAGGTGGCTTATAAAAAAATTCTTAGGTCTTTCCGTAATTAGTTTCATCGGGTTGGTAAAAATCCATCAAGCATAGCTTTTCTTAGGCCAACAACCTTTTTCCTTTTTTTTCTTTCTGGCTTAGAGAAAAAAAAAGATTTTGGACCTAAGAAACTATGTTACTAAGATAATTGGCTAGGAATGCTGTGTGTAAGGTTGTTACAGGTCATATAAACAAGGTTTATGGTTGGGAAAAGTACCACTTTCTGTAGAAGGTGGCTTATAAAGATTCTTCTGCCCTTGCTTAAATAGTTTCATGAGGTTTTTAGCAATCTATTTAACATAGTGTCCTTCTAAAAGGTCCATAACCGATTTTTTTTCTCTCTCTCTCTGACTTTTTAACTGGCGTTTTAACTCTTCAGTAGAGTGAAAAAAAAATTGTAGACCAAAGAAAATTATGCTGAATTCATCTGTGCGTTCTGTTATTGTTGATACCAAAAATGATAACAGCAAGAGGCGGATATTTGGACATGCCCTTTCAGTTCATGGGTCACTGGTTACACCTGTAGGTAGATAGTTATCGCACCTAACGTGTTCCTCTAACAACTTAGGAATCACTTAGAAAATGGTATTTGCTTGTTGAAAGTTTTAATACGAATCAGATCTAGAATAGGTCTCGGGTTCGAGTCCTGACATGCCACCGGTCTTGTGTCCTTGGGAAAGGCACTTTACACGACTTTCCTCACTTCACTCAGGTGAAAATGAGTATTGTATTGTCCCCTGTGTTGGTGGCGGCATTAATATAAGTTGAAACAACTTGAGTGTGCCGTCACCACGTCTTGTGATTAGATGTTGGAACATAGAAAAAAAAACATATATCTACAATACGTATCGGAGAGCGGCGAATATTTGAACATGCCCTTTCAGAATACGGGTCATTGGATGAATAATTATCGCACGTACGCCTATACGTGTTGGTTACGTGACTAACGCGTCCTTCTGGCATCTTAAAAATCAATTAGAAAGAAAACTTTGGGTTGTAGCTTAGAGAACGTTTAAAGATGTTTTCTAACATGCCCTTTCAGAATTACGGGTTATAAGGCGACCATGCATTTTATCCCAATAGTAAATAAATATTACACGTGCGTCTACAATCTCTACACATGTTTGGTTACGTAACAAAAGCGTCCTCTTGACTGCTCAAAAATCACTTAAAAAGAGTGTAAGGTTTTTGCTTGTTATAAATGTTAAGGCGAGTGGGCGTACAGACCGTGTCGTGACAACAATACATGTACATGTTTGCGCCAGAGGCTTATACACAGTGACTCATAGTGAAGACTACCCAGTCGACGCCCCCCACCCCCAGTACTGGCTGCACCTCAACATAGTGAAACCAAAAACATTATGTAATTCCTTTCTACAACAGACTGTACTAAGTTTGCTGTTGTATCTATATAGAAGAAACAAGAGTTATTCTAGATATACGAAGCCTTATACAGACTCCAACAGTAGAAATTGGCCACCACAGACGGAATACTAGTATTAACATGCCAGAGGAGTTAGTCGAGCATGTCATAGGGTTGCAAGGCCGGCTAACTACTCTGACATAGTGTTCAGTCTAATTTTTCCGATTTCTGCTATTTTTCCAGCTACCCACCAGGGTATGCTAGCGAGTAGTATGTACGTAGCTTCTACCAAACTCCAAAAATAATAGGTTGTTGCAAAAGAGACCGAATAATATGGAGGCGGCCGACCATAGAGGGGTTGCAAATTGTACCTCCAAGGCCGGGTAACTACTCCTATATATCATTCAGGCTATTTTTCCGATTTCTACTATTATTTTGCAGCAAACCATTGAGTGTGGTGGCGACTAGATATACTTACAGATGTCTTTGATCATGCTTAACATAGCTGAAGTAGTGATGTTACTTCCGTTAACCTCAACACACTACAAGTTTCCTGTTCTAACATTTTACCGTAAGACAGTATCTTACTGGCTCGATTCTTGTCTTAGTCAGCTCTTTGTGTACCTCTAGACAAGGTTTCGACAGCACGTGTTTCTAAAACACGTACAAAACAGACTACACACACAGGCAGTAACATGTGTTAATATATATGTTTTTAGTCTCATGGTTCCCCACAAGTGATATATGTCTTTCTGTTTACAGCTACTGGTAATTATGTGTCGCCCATTTTTTTTCGAGGACATTTTGAATACCAGTAATTCGTCTATGCCCAAATTATGCTGGCGCAGTTTTAATAATATACGTGACATGAAAACACAAACACAAGTATTACCACATAACAGAGGCCAAAGGTGACCAACGTTAGTATTTTACTCACGCAGTTTTTAGCAAAAACACCCAGGTCTGTAAAAATGGTACCTACCTATTGTCGCCCAGTCATGGACAAAATGCCTTGTTTTAGGGTCGTTCCGTAGACGTGAAAATTGTTAGAAGGTTTCTTCTCTTCGCAACTTCCCTCCCAGTCGAGTTACTGAGAAGTCTTCTGGAATAATTGTTGTCTGCTAAGCGCATGCGTCCTGATCTCCCTCACCTGCAGTGCGTGGAAAGCCGCGAGGTGGCGTTTTGGAACTTACGTTCGAAAATTCTGCTTCGGTCAGAAAACTTGCGGGGAAGTTTTTCTAAATAGTGACAGCATCTTATCTTGCCATAATTCTATTAAAGATGTCGTTAAATGCATTTTAGGGTAGAAGTTTGTTCACTGGATGAGGCAACAAATTAAAGATTATTGAAGTGAAAACCTTGCATGCGATCAGACAACGCGACTTGTGCCCCGCCTGGGGGCGCAAACTCAGGCTCTGTTGTTACAGATGCACTGAAGCATTTCCTAACAACTTTTGTCGAACAAAATTAACGCAACTTTGCAGACTGTTTTGCATATTACAACGCAAACATATCCTACGTGATAACGCAAATAAAACACGTCAAAAATGCTACATTTATTTCACTGTTGCAACGTTGTGCAATTCTAACGCTTTGCGACAGGTGAGAGTAGTCTTTTCTTTGCGTTTGGCTGTGGTCACCTGAATCCCCTGTCAGATCCACCATTGTCCCATCAGCTGACATTTGACCTGCCTTCCTTATTTGGCATAAGCTCTTTGCTACACCGGCAGAAGTGTAGCAAAGAGTCGCGAAGAAAAAGTGGCAATTCTAAAAGGTAGGTTTTTCTGTGTTCTCTTGTATCATATTCTTAACTGTTGTTCTTTGTGTGTACTGTGTGCTCCTGAGTCGATGTAAGCTATTTATATGTATAAAGGGGAGGCATCCATGTCCACGATATTTGTAGACAATTCAAACACTAAGTAACTACGGATAAATTACGGAGATTATTTCCGGACGTTTTGAGTGACATCCATCTTTTTTTTTAATGAACTGAGAGAAATAGTTGACACTTACGCATAAGGAACGGATGTAATTTGCAGCTGTTTTAATGGCAAATTCGTGTTTTACACTTTAAAAATCTTGGAATTCAAGCGATGCCATTGCTTCATGTCTATTTATTTTGTCGGACACAATCGCAAATACTTGAATGTACTGTTTCTCCTTTGCATCTGAGTCTGTTTTGCCTGTTCCAATCTTGTCCAGAATAATTAGATTTTCACCAGTAAATTTCTTGTCCAGAATAATTTGATTCATGTCGGCAAATTTCCATGCGGTGAACACTAGAAGACAGTACTTTTACTGGCTCGACCATTGTTTAAAACTGTTGGTATGGTACAAGCAAGTCATTTTTAATAACCTACTCGTTGTAAGTATTACAGATCTGCAGAATACAACAAGGCCATTGTGATATTCAGAGTGACACGTTCTGACCTGTTACGCCTACTTTAACAGACGCATGAACGCGTCTCGGGGTTAACTTAAGTTGGAAACGCCCCCTGAACAGGTCAAAGCTTCCTGACCTCAAAACATCTCTCCTGACTACTGTAAATTAGTTTATATTCACGGTAGCAAAAGTTCGCGATCTGAGAAAAATAGACATGTTCTCGGAACTATACCTTCAATAAGTGCAGCAAAAAGGAAGTCGGCAAATTATTAGTTCACGATTATCATAATGATACGTTTGCGGTACAGAAGTGACAACGAAAACCACAAAATATATAAAAGTACTGCGAAGAAATTGTGATATACAGAGTATTAGATTTGGGGGGAGGGTCAGTGAATTGAAGCGACAAAAAATCCTAAAGCTATCTGCAGTTTTAAACATATTCCATAACAATCTCTCCTGAGGGTGGGTTTACAGTGATTATGATTCCTATCTATGTTTAAAAGATCTTGTGATAGCGTTTTAATTGTGGGTGCGTTTTGTTATTTTTTTATTTGGCTTGGTTGTGTTTTGATGTCAGGACTAGTAAAACGGGTTGAGCAAGTTGTAAACAGTGGTCTGATTTAAGCGCATCATAACGCAAAGAAGAACATTTTGTTGTTTACATCCAAACGTGTAGTTCCTTTGCAATGTACATCGGAACCAACACTACAAAATCTAGACAGTAGTTGAAAATTGGGATAAGATAGGCTACTTACTAAACGCAAGATTTTGTAATAAGCATTCGTTTAATGGATATCTTTGCTATGGTATGGTATTTGTTGTAAGTCAATCAACTTAAAAATCCACTGCAGCTAGTGCAAAACTGTATGTTTATATCACCAGAAAAGCACACAGGTAATTAGCCTCCGTAGCAGGCTTATAGAACTGGGGTTTGGTGGTCTTCAGCTGTTTTCTAATTCGCCTAGTTCTAAAAAAACGGGGGTAATTCAACCAGGCCGGCTATGTTGTCTATATGCAATCAGAAAATAGCACATAAAAGCTCCCAAATACCCTGAAGACCCCCAAACCCCCAGTTTTTGGCATGCTATGGAGGCTAGCAGATAATCATTTTAAGACAACTCTGTTCGAAATTGGGAACTGGAGCGCATGTTATTTACACTAGTTCAGAAAACAAAGACAAAGGTTTCGCCAGAGCGCCTGTGACGAGGCGTGTCTTGTGCAATGACCTATGATAACACTTTAAACTTTAAAGCGCTCACACAGAGTAACACACCTTTGCGACTACTGGGCGACTAAAAATTACAGGACGCTCAACGAATTTCACAGACAAGGAAGAAATTTTTCACGTTACGTCGACGAAGGTTAGACATCCAGGTAATCAGGTACGTATTTAGGAAACGGTTACTCAAGCAACTGGATATATATAGATCTTGAAAAACATTTGTACTCGAAACGCCTTCCTGTTGTGTGTGTTTTTCATCTCTTGAATAATGCTAATTTATACTGCCCTGCCAAATAAATACTGTCCCGAAGCACCAAAAGATCTGCATGGAGACTAGTCGCTCAAAAGTCGCACAGCTATCGCCGTGTAGTGGAGAGGGTGTCTAACCAAAAGCATGCACAATAGACAGGGTCTGTGCCTCCAGGCTAGCTACAGGCGCCCAACCTTCATTTGTGATGCAAGAGACGTCCGCGCACACATATATCATCATCAGAACACGACGTCAGAGCTGTCAAGTCAACCTTGCAACTTGTTGTTGTTTTTGTCGAGTTTCAAGTTGCATGCAAGACTGAGAGCCGAGCTCGCCTTAAGATCGTGCGTCTGTCGCGTGTCTGACGCCAGTTCCTCGTCGGTTGGTTGGTTGGTTGGTTGCACGTCCTACGCGGTGTTGTGTTGCGTGTTGTTGACGTGTTTTGGGGAGAGGTGAACCCGAGTGTGGACATTTTTTAATGCGCGACTGCACGGACGACATGATCAAGGTACACGCACGTACCGACCCGCCCACCGTGGTCTGGTTATGGGACGTTATGGCGCAGGCATATGTATACTAGCCTCCACCAGGCATTCTTAAGTAGCTTCTACCAGGCTTCGGAGGCGGCTGGATAGAGTAGAAATTGGCCGAATAGAGCCAGGGGAGTTGGTCCGCTAGAGAGTACATTTTGCCTCACCCGTGGGTCGCATATTGGATCTTCTCTGGCCGGCTAACTCCCCTGGTATACTATCCCTTTATTTTGGCCAATTTCTTTTTTTTTCCTGGTAGCGGCTACTTTTAAGGGCTTTACTTTTAAGGGCCTCCATCAGGCCTTCTTAAGGGGTCGTAATTGTATACTAGCCTCGACCAGGCCTTCTTAGGGTCTTATAGCTGTTCTTGTTGTTCTTGTTTTTGTTTGACGTCTAATATCTCGCTAAACGTGGTCTCTTGGTGCTAGTTTGCACTCGCTGGGCCATGGGTTCAGATCAGAATCAAGTTGTCTCTCCAGCTATTTAACCCTTGGTGACTTGTGCATGTTTGAAGATGAAAGTGTCTCTTGGAGAGCGCATCGAATCAGCAGTGCGTACTCTCGATGTTGTGTACTAGCCTCCACCGGGCCTTATGAAGGGGTTGTAGCTGTATACTAGCCTCCACCACACATTAGTAGGGCGTATAGCTGTATATTAGCCTCAACCAGGCCTTCTTAAAGGCTTATAGCTGTATACTAGCCTCAACCAGGCCTTCTGAGGGCTTATATACAGCTATATACTAGCCTCAAGCAGGTTTTGTTAAGGCCTTATAGTTGTATACTAGCCTGAAACATACCTGCAAAAGGTTATATGTGGGATGTGGGGAATAAACTGGTGTTAATTTTATCATTTTTTTTTCAGATCAACATGACGACTCAATGGGAGTGTGAAAAGGCCGGGCAAAACTGTAAGTTGTCTTTTTTGGTTTGTTTGTAAGATTTATCATAAGTCAAACAAGCATTGCAGCCACAGGCTTGAATTCCGCCCTAAATTGTACATCCTCGGGCCTCTGGAGGTCTGGACAGTAAAGGTTGACCACTATAACAAAAGGGCGATGATAGACGCCATTGTACTGCACTTAGGAACGTCCTTGGCGTTAACAGACCACCTTATTTACCCCCTGAGAGCTGTTGGTAAAGGATAATGCCTGTATAGGTCCTTGTGTGCACTTGTTTCGAATATTCTAATTACACTGAATGTTACGTTTTGAATATTGTAGCGTTCCTAGCTGACATCCCCGTTTCTAAAAGAAGCTGCAGCCGCTTTGCGAGCAAAAAATCAGATTGATCAAAGAACACCATACACTGAGAAAATTTTTGCGTGTGTTTTGCTGTTTTTTTAAATTAGGTTATAAATCATACATTTGCATCGTGCCTCAATTATGAAATCAAGGTCGATGACAGACGAAAGCCAATTTTGGTTGTTTAACGTAGGGACGCACGTTTTTATCGGGCTTCCTTTTTTTCGTACCGGTATCTTTTCTTTCACGTGTCACGGTAGTGTATTGGACACTTTCCTGCCAATTTGATACTGTCTTGTAGCCACCAAAAGATCAGCCTAAAAACAACACGACCGAGCCGACCCCAAACACAGATTCCTTACAGCTCAGCAGGCAGTGGTATTACTGGGTTTTACTTCTTCTTTTGAGGCAGTGGAATACGAACTTACCCACTTCTTCTACATGTACTATGCGGATTCTTTGATTTTACTAGTAATTTTTGTTCTCGTGGTAGGGAATAGTGGGAAAGTAAGTGATCTAAACTGGAGACAGCTGACATCCCCGTTTCCACTAGGGGCTGTAACCGCTGAGCAAAAACTTAACACATCGGTCAACAGTGTCTTTTTTCTTCACGATGGTATACTGGATACTGTCCTGCCAATTTGATACTTTTGTCTCAATAATTTGACACTGCCTGTCAAATTTGCTACTGTTATATAACCACTTAAAGATCTACTTGAAGATTAGAGACGACACGACCCAGCCGACCCCAAACACAGATCCCTTCCGACTCACCTGTCAGAGGTATGCCGGGGTCGGCTCGTCTCACCTGCGACTGGTCGGGCGGAAGATTAGACAATTATTCACAGAGAAAAGTGTCAGTGACACTTACGTGTAGTGTGCTGTAATGCATTTGTTTTCAATTGTTGGTCATTTGTTTAGATGTTTTACTACCAATTCTTCAAAGAAAATCCATGCATAATATTAACTTACTTTGAGAAGATCAAGTAAAGACTTTACACAATTCAGCTTATGAATTAGTAACTCTCTTCTCGATCATTTCACAGGGACGAACCATGCTTTCGCCTTGTACAAGCAGAAGATGGGAGACGGAGTCTTCAAGGAGAAATTCGAGGAACTCTTTCAGGTAAGTAAATAAACAAATATTTTCCTAGACGGCAGGGGCATACACGTGTTTCATTTGTCATACGGCAGAATGGTGATCATAAAATATACAATTTTAGCGATGGAGAGTTAACACGAGATAGAAAGGTCGGGGGTTCGATTCCTTGCATTGCACTTCACATTACACTTTGCTTCAAGAAGGTGTAAAATGGGTACCTGACTTCAGTTGGGGAGGTGAAAGGTAGTGGAAGGAGAGGGATGGGCTCCACCTTCCAATACTGTGCGCTAGACACAGTGGATCAACATAACAATTCACTGCCCCTGCGGCCTCAAAAAGGCTATGGGACTACCTTTACCCCTTTTTTTTTACAAATCGTCAGCCCGTTACTTTCCCGCCATGCAGGTTCCGTCCCTGGAGGGCTTCGCGGCCAAGTCCAAGGTGGAGAACCAGATCACCAAGATGAAGTTGCTCGCTTTCTTCGGCAGCCTGCGCAAGTCACATGCGCACGGGGTCGGCGGAGTCGGTACGTTTGGTAGTGGTAGAAGTGGTAGTAGCAGTGATAGTATAGGTAGCAGCAGTCTTTATCATAGTTGTAATAGTGGTGGTGGTGCTGGTAGTAGAAGTAGTGGCAGTGGCAATATCTGTAGTAGTAGTAGTAGTAGTAGTAGTAGTAGTAGTAGTAGTAGTAGTAGTAGTAGCAGTAGAAGTAGTAGTAGTGGTGGTAGTAGTAGTAGCAGTAAAAGTAGTAGTAGTAGAAGTGGTAGTAGCAGTAGTTGTTGTAGTAGTAGCAGTAGTAGTAGTAGTGGTAGCAGTAAAAGTAGTAGTAGTGGTAGTAGTAGTAGCAGTAGTAGTAGCAGTGGTAGCAGTAGTAGTAGTAGTAGTAGTAGTAGTAGTAGTAGCAGCAGCAGCAGCAGCAGCAGCAGTAGTAGTAGTAGTAGTAGTTGTAGTAGCTGCAGCAGTAGTATAAGTAATACATGTAGTAGTATTAGTATTAGTAGTACCTAATGCATCAAAAGTTTTGATATATCATCAAGTTATATTACACCCACATGCAGGAACAGCCCGGATCGTGAGCGACCCCGGATTTCCGGATCACGAGTTCTTCAAACCCGGCCGCGCCTTTCCGGTCCGGATCTACCACTCCAATGCCATCATGGCGGACGACGCAAGCGCAGACCGGCGGGGAGCCTTCCTCAAGTTCTCGGACGAGGTTAGTGGGCATGCGCAGGGCTTGGCGGCCTGCTGTATTTTTTTAATATCTAACATGTTACAATTGCGACCATGTAGATTTGTCGGACTTCCCCAGTGATTGGGTTGTCTTAAGTTATCTTACTGACAAATTGTTACTGATCCTCAATGACACCACTCATGAATCCAACCTGATACAACATACTAGTAGTCATCATAACAAACATTAATGTCTAATTTGTATTGGACATACCACCACGTTACCGTGAACATTCAGGGACACGATCACAACTGTTACCGAACCCACAAACAGTGAAACACAGGTTTTTCGTATACCTGGAATGTTTGTTTGTTTTATTCATTTAGATCTCCATTAGTGATTGGCATGTACAAATCGTTTTGAATCCAAGTGATGTTGCTTGTCTTTTTGTCCAAGTCTTTGGTTTTCTTTTCTTGTCCGCTTATTTGTTTCCTAGTTTGTCCGTTCACACGTGTACATGTACAGCGATGCACTCAGTGTCCTACAACTTCTGCGTTTTCGTTGGTCTGACCCTCGTACCTTTTGCTTAGCCTGGAGTCCAGCCTTGTAAGCTTTAGTACGCTCCCGAAGATGTTGTTGGCGGGGTATAGCGGATCTTGGGGAGCGGACTAAAGCTAAGAAGGCTCGACTCCAGGCTACGTTTCGCTCAAATACTCTCTTCGCTCTTTCTGGACTGATCTGGTATACACTGCATATTGCATGTTTGCACGCGCACAATGGAGAACCTCAGGACAACACTCGGCGTATATACAACGTATAAAACAAGGAACATTACTGCTACCAGTTCATAAGTTTACTCACTGTGGTGCGTTGCTTTACTTCCTGGTATGCAGACTTTTCGGTGTTCAAACGAGGCAATGAACTGCGGGGGCTTTTCGGCAAGTATTCTCTCTCTTCTTACACCTATATTCTGCAGGGAACTTGTCAGGAAGCGACATCTCTGTTGAAATCTATAGAAAATGTTACCTTCGTTTCCACCATTGACGATATAAATGCTGGAGACATATGAAGCAATCTTTTAGTTCTGTAAGAGACACAAGCAAACAAGAAGTGGTCTATGTCTATGTCCCTACCAATAACCACTATGGTTCCGAGACCTTCTCTGGCTAACAATAAGTACTATATGTCCTAATCATGCCAGGCAAGGCAATCCTAACAAGCCCAAATCTTTTAATAAAGATAATCCCCGTGGCTTAACCTTCACTGTCGTGGGAATCATTCTGGAAACAGTTTTATGCACTAATGACAAACTGGCGTTCATATCATATTCTCCTTCATGTCTAGTTAGAAAGGTAACAGGTGAATGATATACATAAATGGCCGGAGTAACAATTTGCTAACAAGAAAGCTAATAAGTTAACAAAGTGCCGGTAATTCCCATACATGTTAACCCATTATGTAATATAGAACAACTCAAGCAGCAGTGGACTGAAGAATCAGACGTGTCAGATGGGCATCCATTATCTTTCATCAGTAACTGATAAGATCTGAGAAAGCTTCTTAGTTTCTTGTGTTATTTCGTATCACGTAACGCCCTACCTGGATGTCTAACCTTCATCGCCATGATTCCGCATGTTACCTTCCCAGGACATTGAGAGCCCGCTGGACATGGAGCTTGTGACGGGGTCCGTGGACACGTGCTGGGACATCCCGACCCTGACCGGCTTCATGAAGGCGCAGCGAACCAACCCCGCGCTCAAGGACTTCTGCTTCGAACACCCCATCATGTGAGTCCGCCATTTTGTCCTTGAACTTAACGACTCATCGTATGTCAATAAAGAATCTTATGTTTACCTTTGCAGAAGTTTTCGCTCTGTTCTTTTTTTCTTCTTCCTCTTCTCCAAACAAATAAGGTCGATGATCTGAACCAGGCAGCCATGTCTCCATGATAACTGGTGCTGTGGCAGACATTCTGTGGTGTTGGATTACATTGTGTAGCAAGGCATAGGACGTTCTGGAGGGGCTGGTCACCATTTACATATAATTGAATAAGTAAGAATAAACAGAGCAGGAGTCTGTTAGGCCAGACCATGTGAAGGTAAACATTATGTATTTGCTTTGCAAATGTTACTCTCACTTTATGAAAACGGTTACGATGACGGAAAATTATGACTTTAAAGACAAAACAAAAGACATTTCTTTATGAATAAAATTTTCCTCCCCCAGTTACTACGGCCTAGTGGACTCGCTGCGCCGCGCGCCCGACTCGTACACGGACCTGCGGTACTACGGACATCACGTCTTCCACTTCCGCGCCAAGGACGCCAAGGAGCGCTTCGTCAAGTTCCGCCTGGTCCCGGCAGACGGACACCCCGAGTCAGGACTCCTGGACTTCGACGACCAGAGGATCGTCTGGTGAGTACTGTAACTGCTTCTTTTTTGGCGACACCTCAGGTGCAAGCGGAATAGTATCATTTGTAGTCAGTCTGCAGGAATTCCATGTATTTTAAAATATGTTTGTTGTTTTCCACGAATTTCGGAGTATCTTCTGGTAGATGCAGCTTTTTTGTAGTCCTCCTACGGAAGTATTGTCTTGAGTGGCTAAGCTTTGTGAGTAGCCTGTGTGGGTGGGGGAAGATTGGCACGCCGAATGTCTATTTTTGTTGTCAGGGGTCTTTGTCTTTGTCGGTTTTAATCCAATTCTTTCAGAACATTCTCTGCACATGTCGATTAAAAAGTCCATTCCCGAAACCATGAAACAACCCCTGTAATGCTGTAATAATCCGCTTGGTGTCGCTTCTCCAGGCGCCGTGAGCGGCTGCCTGACGAGTTCCGGCCGCAGACTTACCTCCGGACGGAGTTCGCAGAACGCCTGAAGAAGAAACCGATCAACTACACCCTCCAGGTATGTCTCACCTCATGTTTCCCCATATCTACGACGTCCACTGACAACTATGTGACAAGAACGCCACAAGAACTTTCTGAAGACCATTTCTTTCCAACTGTTTTTCGCCTTTTTTGGCATCCTTTTTACTGATGGCGAAGACCTTACCTTGATATTGTGGTTATTCTATCCAGTTCTTATCTAATTCTATACCTGAATGGGGTAGGGATAGGATCAGTCACGGCTCTGGATAGTCTTCACGTATCTAAGAACGTACATTTGCCCCAGGCACGGTACTAGATTCGTATGGGTTATCCTGAACCGTGCCTGTCCATCGTTCTGGATAAAGCACGGTTCTGGATACACATGGACTACAGAGCAGTGCCTGCCAATGATTCTGGATAAAGAACGGTTCTAAATACAACAGTGCTTTTTTATAGAGGACTTTGTCATGATTACCTATTGTAAAGGTTGGAGTTTTTCATGTTGCATGTGTTCCAACAGCTCCAACTGTGGGAGGAGACCTATGTGTACGGCAGTGTAACATCTCATGTGTACTTCACAGATATCTACAGAGCTAGCTGAAGTACGTACAGAGAACAGTAGATAAAAGAGAATCTTCATTTTCTGTCTTTCAACAGCTCCAGCTTCACGAGTGGGAGGAGAACGATCCTTACGAGATCTTTAACCCGGTCCGCGTCTGGGATCCAGACACGCACCCCTGGATCGACCTCGCGCATGTGCAGATCACCACTCTGCTGCCGCAGGACATCACCGAGAGGATGATCTTCAACCTTGGGACTCAGGTAAACAAACAAACAAACAAACAAACAAACAAACAGATGAAACATCGGAACACAGGTAACGTACATGTAAATGCACAACCTCGAGACTCAGGTTACGTAGATAAAAAGATAAATAAACAAATGTAACCTCGGAACTTAGGTGATGTAGATAAACGAAATAAATAAACATATGTAACATCGGAACTAAGGTAACGTAATTATAAACAAACATTCAATTTCGGTAGTGTAGCGTAAATCAAGAGATGTAACTTCGGAAGACAGATATTAAAAAGAAATAAGCAGATGCAACCTCGAAACACTGATAAAGTAGATAAACAACTGAATGCAACCTTGGAACACAGGTACTGTAGATAAACAAAGGAGATGAACATAGCAATGCAGCATGATGTTATGGCTCTTCGTTTCTTAAGGTATTATACAGCATAATAAATAGGTTATGTAGATAATGGAGTCATATTAAAATGCTGTTGTATTCTGCAGCCGGAGTCTCTGGGCCTGGTGGAGCCGAAGTCCATCTACGACCACAGCAGCGTGCCTTACCTGAAGGCCAAGGTCAACCCGTTCATGAGCAAGCTGCAGCCGATCAACCCGCCCAACCCGGAGCCGCCCGTACAGCTGGACAGGCACAAGTACACACTGGAGATACACACCGGAAGGACCAAGGGGTGGGTAAAACTCTTGTTGTGGGTTTGTGTGTTCTTAGAAGGGTTGACAGTACGTGGGTGGGAAGATTGACAGGCCGGTCAACCCGCCCAACCCGGAGCCGCCCGTACAACTGGACAGGCACAAGTACACACTGGAGATTCACACAGGATGGACCAAGGGGTGGGTCACAAACACCGATAAAATTCTTTACGAAAAGCTTCTTAATCTCAAAGCAGCTCAGTGATCCTAGGCACCCGTTATACGGACACCAGGAGGTCCCCCGACGTCTGAAATCCCGCCGCAGCTTCATGACGGCCCGACGCCTCGGGGGTATGACACCAGCGACCCTCAGGGTAGAGCTGTGGAAGGAGAGTCACCCAAGTAACAACAGGGCACTCCCTCCCCCCAGCGAGACACTGCCCCCAGGGACAGACTTGCGCAGAAGGGACTGGGTGGCCCTGAACCGGGCAAGGGCTAAGGTGGCCAGGACAGGGGACAACCTGGCACGGTGGGGCAAGTCCACCAGTACAACCTGCAGCTGCGGAGAGGACCCTCAGACCATCCAGCACCTGATGCACGGCTGCAGGCTTGGTCCTACCTGCACAGACACAGATCTCCATGAGGCCAATGAAGCAGCGCGGAACTGGCTGGAGTGGATTGGCGATAAGCTATGATGATGATGATCTCAAAGCAGATCTCTCAGGGATAGACATTTTCCAACCGGGGCCAACTGGATACTGCATAGCCGGTTGGATACTAAGTAGTGCCTTACCCCAGAGAAGGAAGAAGGAAAACATAACTTACTAAATTTCTTCTTCTTCCCTTACATACAAATAAATCACCTCTACTACCTCTTTTCCCAACAGATTCGCAGTTTAAGGCTGTTTGAGGTATTGTGTGTTAAGCCATCTCTTGTCCCTGCGTAGGTCTGGCACTGACTCCACCATCACGGTGATTTTGGTCGGAGCCTGGGCGCGAACACACCCCATCAAACTAGACCAGGCTTTCATGAACAACTTCGAGGCCGGAAATGTCGACATTCTGGACATCGAAGCGGTGGATGTCGGGGAGGTGAGCAAAGAAAGATTGATCAATCAATCCATCGCCAGACGTAGGCATTCATACCGTTACCGAAAGAAACTCTGCGATTGCCTTCAATGCCTTTTCTGGTTTCAGTAGCCCTGTACAGCGTTTGTAGTTTTTACATGTTGTGTAGGGAAAATATCGTCTGCAACTGGGAAAATTCTAATGCAATGTTGACCAAACATCCAATAAAAAAAGGTGAAAAATCCTGATTTCTGGAAGGCGCTGCCGACGTGTTCTCAGATGACACCTTTGGTAGTCCTTCGCAATCGGAAATGACAGCGTCTTCATTGGGATGTAAAGTTGACGTTACTACCTGTTCCCGTAGATCCAGGCCATGACTCTGTCCACGGACTCTCGCGGCGTGAAGAGCGACTGGTACGTGGACAGCATCTTCGTGGTGGATCGGCAGCGGGGCCGGCGGCAGGAGTTCCCGGTGTACCGGTGGATCACGGACCGCAGCGACCCGATCACTCTCCGCTCCGGGAACGGTACGTCTGTCTGTCCGTCTGTCTGTCTGTGTGTGTGTGTGTGTGTTTTTTTTGTTTGTTTGTGTGTGGACCGGCAGCGGGGGAGGCGGCAGGAGTTCCCGGTGTACCGGTGGATCACGGACCGCAGCGACCCCATCACTCTCCGCTCCGGGAACGGTGCGTCTGTCTGTCTGTTTGTCTGTGTGTCTGTCTGTGTGTCCGTCTGTCTGCGTGTCCGGTTGTCTGTGTGTTTGTCTAGTTCGTTGGTTGATTATTTCGTTCTTTATCTTCTTTTTTGCTCCGTCTCTTCGTCTTCCTCTTCTTCCACTCCAAACAAATAAGATCAATGACCTGAACCAGACGTCTGTCAGCATGGTAACTGCTGCTGTAACAGACACCCTGTGGCTTTGACATCACGTAGCAAGTGGCAGGACAGATTTGGAAGGGCTGCTCCCTATACATTCTTGAGTAAGAATATACAGAGCAGTAGCTTGTTTAGCTGGACCACATTCATGTGAAGGTGAACATTATGCATTTGTTACTTACGTTTCTAGACGTTCACTATATCTTTGACACCCTCCAGCGTCCCTGACGTCCCACGACTCCCCAGTCCTGAAGGGCCTGAGAGAACTGGAGCTGGAGAAGCGCCGTGAGAGGTACCGTTACCAATAATGCTGATGATAACAATATCTCCACACGTGTTAACCCTCCAGCGTCCCTGATGTCCCACGACTCTCCCGTGCTGAAGGGACTGAGAGAGCTGGAGCTTGAGAAGCGCCGGGAGAGGTACCAGTGGGCTCACGACGAGAAGGGCTTCCCGGCACACCTGGCCGTCAAGACGCTGAACGACCTGCCCAGGGACAACAGGGTCACCCAGTCACTCAAGGGGCGGGATCTTAGGTTTGGGCCGGGTTGTCTGCTACCATGGTGATGTGTTAAAGGAGGTGATACCGCTGGTGGTGGTCTATGATGGTGGGTTGGATACACTCAAAAGTTTTGATGGTATTGCTGCATACTGCAGCCTATATTGTGTGCAGGGCTCACTTTGCTAAACGTAAAAGTTAGTCAAGGTCCTTGCTACACTTTTTGCTTTTAACTAGTTGGTTGGTTAGCTTGTTAGTTGGTTGGTTGCTGTATCTCTTGCTCTATCGCCCCCAAGGCAGTTTCCTAGGTTTTTACATAAAAGCGAGGATAAAACTACCGCTGGCTCAGGCAGACAGTCTGCCTGTCTACCGATCTGTAGCATGCATTCTACAGTTATTTCCTTTTGTCCCACTCACTAATTGCCCCCTCTAATGTCTCTCAGGAACGCGAACAAGAACGGCATCCCGCTGCGTGTGAAGTTCAACTCTGCGTTCCGCCGCTGGGAGAAGTTTGACGACTGCGAGAACCTGTGTAAAGTGGCGCTGGGCGAGGAGAACGTGCGCGAGTTCGCCACAGACATCTGGAGAACTGACTTCGAGTTCGGCAGGCAGATCCTTAATGAGGTACATGTAGGAGTTTGTATTGGGGTAGTTTGTTTGTTGTTTGGTTTGTTGGTTGGTTCATTAATTGATTGATTGAGTGAGTGATTGATTGGCAGGTTGGTTGATTGATTTGTTGGTTGAGTGGTTGGTTGGTTGGTTGGTTGGTTGGTTGGTTGGTTAGTTAGTTAGTTGGTTAGTTAGTTAGTTAGTGTGAGAACCTGTGTAAAGTGGCGCTGGGCGAGGAGAACGTGCGAGAGTTCGCCACAGACATCTGGAGAACGGACTTCGAGTTCGGCAGGCAGATTCTCAACGAGGTGAGACTTTGTATTGGGTTTGTTTGTTTGTTTGTTGGTTAGTTGGTTGATTTGCAGGTTGGTTTATTGATTGCCTGGTTAATTGATTGGCCTGTAGATTGGTTGGCCGAGCTGTGTACATACAAATTGTCGTATTTAGAACCATTCTCGGGCAGCATGGCTCTAGTTAGTTCATGCCTATCCAGAACCATGCTTGAGGCAAATCTATGTTCTTGGGTACGCGGAAACTAATCCAGAACTGTGCCTGATCCCAAGCCTAACCCATTCAGGCACAGGACTAGATAGACATCGCTCTAGACTCAACAGTGTGACTGCATTAAGTGCGTGCAATCGACAGAACTAATGAATTATAATTGTAGTATGACATCTCTGTCCGTTTCCCCCCACAGTGCCACCCCAGCACCATCACCCGGTGTAAATGGTTTTGATCGCGGTAACCGTTTCTGTTAGTATGTAGACATGATAGATGGATTTTGTACGACATATGCTATCATGAACGTGAACACCTGTTTCTCTCTCCGCAGTGCCACCCCAGCACCATCACCCGCTGTAAGATGATCCCGCCCAACTTCCCCGTGCAGGACGAGACGCTCAGACCGCAGCTCGAGCGCGGCATGAACCTCAAGCAGGAGGCAACAGTAAGTACCATAGTCTCATCAACTGTACATGTTTATCGTGTTCGAACCGTGCGTTCAACAATACTTCTTCCGATGCTTCTTGGTGTTTCTTCTGGTGCTGTATTACTTTGGCCTTTGTGCCCTGTAATTATAAAAAAAATGACTTGAAATTTGGTACAGGATCGCCATTGACGTAATCCCACAGGACTACAGGTTCGACTAGCCTACATTTACAGAACTGATGTGCCCTTGGATTGCCTGTCTTTGAGTCTGATTGTCCACGTGCCAGGCCCCACTCACCAATTGTTGTCTATCTCCCCTAGTCTGGGTAGCTGTACCTTCTGAACTGTAGATTGTTAAATGACCAGTCTTTTATTCGTAACTAAAGGAAATTCAAACCCTAGCGCTCTGAAGCCTCATCCATTGCCTCCACTTTACCCCCACAGTCTGGCCATCTGTACCTGATGGACTGCAGTTTGTTAGACGGCCTGTTTTTGGTTAATTTTACATTGCCTTCTCTCTCCACAGTCCGGGCGCCTGTACCTGATGGACTGCAGTCTTCTGGACGGCCTGTCCCTGCGCAAACCTGACCACCAGGACGACGAGAACGAGTTCCACCCGACGGCCCCCATGGCGCTGTTCTACGTGAACGGGAAGAAGGAGTTCGTGCCCATCGCCATCCAGCTGTACCCGCAGGTGGGCCGCCTGATGCCGTCCGGTAGGCTAATGTGGGATGACAAGGTGAGGCGTGCGTAGGTAGGCACACAGGTGGAGTTATCGGGCGGAATGGGGACCAGAACAACGTTACAACCAAGGCGCTGGTAAGGCCCCTACGTGTTGTATCCAGAACATTAACAGCGATTTATCTGGAACCATGGTCGGGCAATGTTCTGGATAGTCCACGATTATCCAGAACCAAGCTTTATCCAGAGCCGTGCTGTATCCAGAACCATGGTCGGGCAAGATTCTGGATAGTCCAGAACCGTGCCCGGGGCAACTCTACGTTCTTGGATACGCGAAGACTATCCAGAACGGTGCCTGATGCTAATCCTCACTCATTCAGGTATAGAACTAGAGAGGCACGGTTCTGGATAAAATAGTTACATTGCACTTCTACTTAGTGGTCACTGAAACATCTTGCCGCTGCTTGAAATAGATAAAAGCATGGCTTTAAGTCTACCTAAATTCCCCATCCTGTCCTACACTCCACATAGTTTGTTTTACTTTTTTTCTATGCATCGCACTGGGTTTAGCAGCTGTCCCTTATAACATACCGGGCACTGACTAGCATCACTAAGGTGGCGATTGAAACATTTTTTAAATTTTCGCCTGCATGTCCTTGTAGTTTTTGTTGTCCTAGCGTCCGTGCCTAGTGACGCCAACTCCATCCTTAAGATCTTTGCTAATCAGATGGTGGCTACACAATGGCCATAACTCGTGCAATATAATAAAGAGTAGAAGTGACTCCGAGTCAGGTTCAACATTTTCACGTCTCCGCCTTTTTTCTCACAGCCCGGCCCCGAAAACCCCATATGGACCCCCATGGACTCGGACTTTGATTGGATCCTGGCCAAGATGTACCTGCGCAGCGCGGATGCGCAGATCCACCAGCTGGTGTCCAACTGTCTCACACAGGTACAAAATCCCCTCATCCAACATGGAGAATTCATTATTCAATATCCTGCTAATTCATCTGTAATGCAAATATATATAAACATACGGGTGACCAACTCCCCACACTCGAATAAGTTGGAAACTATTATAGCGCCATAGCCAGCAGACCAAATTATGATATGGGTATAAGGAGAGGAATCAGCAAATCTTAAAACAGTTGTCAGCATGTGTTCGTCAGAATACGTGAGCACCCAAATGCTCAATTAGTACACATCAGTTTCTGGAAGTGTGGTCGGGTCAAAGGTCGCTGGAAGTCAGTAGTGACCCCCGTCTCGGTTGTAGATAGCTAATCCTTTACTGAATGTAGATATCAATAGACGACCTGGTCGGCCATGTGACATGATAAGAATTGTTTGATGAATTGGTTGATAGATTGCTTGATTTATTACTCAGCTTGTGATGGAGCCGTTTGCTGTGTCCACCTACCGTAACCTGTCGGCGGCCCATCCGGTCTACAAGTTGCTGGTCCCGCACGTGCGGAAAGTCTTCGCGCACAGCCTGGTGCTGAAGGAACACGTCATCGGGGAGGGGAGCATCCTGGACGACATCAGCCCGTACGACGCCGACGGCAGGAAGGACCTCATCAGAAGGTACTAAGAAAAATACTATATGTATTTATATAGTATATATACTATAAAATACTATATAATAAATAAAATGTTATGAAGAAATAAACAAAGAAGAAGTTAAGAGTTAAGAAATTTAAAAAAGCAGCCCATACGAATAGGATGGTAGCAATGAGCTCATCCAATAGTAACCGGTCTGGACCAGACGGCTGTCACCATAGTAACTGGTGCTGTAGTGTAGCATGACATTATGTAGCAAAGTAGCAGGACAGATTTGGAGGGTCTGGTCGCCATATATGAATGTGTTTGAGTAAGAAAAAACCGCAATAGATTGTTTGTTGGACTAGACCATGTGAAGGTTAACTTATGATTTTGCTTTGCATAAGTTACCTTTGAAGTTGAGTCACTTTGTGTAGACTAAATTGGTTTCTAGTCAATCTCATTCTTGATATCTTCTTGCCGTCTGACCCTTGCAGATACTACGCCAACTTCAAGTTCAAGATGCTGAACTTTCCCGCCATGCTGGCCGAGAAGGGGCTGGACGACAAGGAGGCCCTGCCGGGGTACTACTACCGTGACGTAAGTACAAGTTCAACTTCATTTCAGTGTAGACACTTGCGTTTATCGACAATTCGTATGGTTGTGCATGGATGAAGTAGAGTTCTAGATGTCTTGTCTGTTTTTCTGGCACATCAAAAACTGTGCAAGTTAGTAGTTAGATTCCGTACCTTGGTAAACCTGCCTACCTGCATGCCTATATGTACAGGCCAGGTACTGGCCCCTTGCTTCCCTGCGTCAAGTACTTCCAGCCAGCTCTATCAAGGGCAATAGTCTCTGCTTCCCTTAGGGTAAGCCCTGTGTCACTCTGAATCTGGTCTTTCCACCTCTTGGGTGGTCTTCCCCGGGGTCTAGGTGAACAGTGTCAGATATTATAGTTACTGTAGAAAATCAAGATGGCAGTATTGGTGACAGTACAATTAATTTTACCCATCAGGACGGTTTGCTGCTGTGGGAGGCCATCAGCAGGTTGTTGTTGTTGTTGTTGTTGTTGACAGTATCATGTTACCCTTCAGGACGGTTTGCTGCTGTGGGAGGCCATCAGTAGGTTGTTGTTGTTGTTGTTGTTGACAGTATCATGTTACCCCTCAGGACGGTTTGCTGCTGTGGGAGGCCATCAGCAGGTACACGGGAGACATCCTGAAGCTGTTCTATGACGACACGGTTGCCCTGAGAGACGACCTTGAAGTCCAGAACTGGATCCGTGACGTCAAGCAGCAAGGACTGCAGGTAGGGCTGTGTTTTGCGTTTATAATTACCTCCACAGAAGGAAACATATTGTTTTTGCTCCGTTTCTCCTCCTTCCTCATCTTCTTCCTACCTTCTAAAAAGTCAGGTCGGAACATGGACCAGACGGCTGTCACCTTGGTAACTGGTGCTGTCGCAGACATCCTGCGGTGTTTGGTTACATTATGTAGCAAGTTGCTGGATACGGACAGGTAGCCATGTACACACAAATGTGCTCATAAACAGAGCCTCCTCAGTCACGTTTGGTCCTTGCTGGAACACCACAATGTGGCTTAGAGGTGTCCGTATTCAGGCCCTGAGGAAGATATATGTAGTCCAGCAGTTACCGAAAGGTCCATGTCAACCCACCAAATTCTAAGATATTGGACCTCTCCTCTCATTTAGTATGTGGGAGTTCTTAATAAGTAAACGGGTGAATTCTATGTCTTCTTTATTTAACAGTGGGAGGACTAGTCTGACAAGGGCTTCCCACGCTGTGGTTTTGGAGTTCATTATGTAGCAAGTGGCAGGACGGAGTTAGGAGGGTTGGTCACCATTAAGAATAAACGTATCTTTTGTTTCCAATGGGAGGACGAATCAGACAAAGACCTGCCTGACGGCGTGCGGCCAATCCGAGAACTAGCTGACCATAGATACTGGACCTATGGACTCAAAACTCAGTCACGTATACCCAAAATGACGGCTATCCTATATTTAAGCATGCAGAAGTTGGATAAACTTTTTATTTTACTCCTTTGTTTCCCAGTGGGAGGACAAATCAGACAAGGGCCTGTCCTATGGAGTCCGGAAAATCCGACAGCTGGCTGACAATTGCCCACGCTTAGATACTGGACCAAGCTCAGTCATGTATCCCCCAAACGCAAAAATTTAAGATACTGGCTCTCCTATACTTAGTATGTTCTACATCATTCAGCTTGCTAATTCTACGGCCCCTTTATTTCTCAGTGGGAGGATGAGTCCGACAAGGGCCTGCCTGACGGCGTGCGGACTATCCGGGAGCTGGCTGACATCGTGACGAGCGTGATCTTCACCTGCAGCGTGCACTACGCCGGCCACAACGCCGCGCAGCAGGACGTGTACAGTCTGGTACGCACGGTGTTTTTGATCTTTGTCAAGAATTATCTCCAAGCAGATATTTCAATGACTACAAGAGAGTATTAGATTTGCAAGGCGGTATCAATTTTTTTTCTCAGTATCGCGTTCGGCAAAAAACCTCAAACCCAGACAAGGACGACCAGGTGAAGGTGTCTTTGCAGCCTTGCCGACGACTGTAAACTTTATCTTAATCACAACATCAGATTTAAGTCTCAAGTACTGAAATGTCTTAGAGACTTTGCAAGGGACAAATGACGATGGATTGAACTGTACAGAGACCTACACTGATTTGGTCTGTCAATTGTAGTTTAGAGTTTAGAGAATGTTCTAAGAGTCATACATGTAACGTTACACTACTCCCCTGCAGGTTCCTAACGCGCCGATGAACATGCGCCGCGCGCCGCCCAAGCGGAAGCCTCGGAAGGGCGAGACGGAGATGGAGGACATCATGGACGCTCTGCCGGACCGACAGGCCTCCTGCAAGCAGCTTAACATGGCGATAGCGCTGTCCAACCTGGGCATAGACGAGGTAAGATTCAACACATGGCCATTGCACTCTTAATTCTAGGTGCAGACTCCTAGGTAAGGCTTTAGACATGGCCATCGCTCTCTCCAACCTGCGCATAGACGAGGTAAGGCTTTACAGTATACAGGATAGGTAAGGCAGCTCAACATGGCCATCGCTCTGTCCAACCTGGCCATAGACGAGGTGAGGCTTCATTTTGTTTAGTTTCTTCTTCTTCTTCCCTTTGTTATTCCGTTACAAACAAATATGGTCATTGTCCTGGACCATGGACGCTCTACCGGACCGACAGGCCTCCTGTAAGCAGCTCAACATGGGCATCGCGCTGTCCAACCTGGACATAGACGAGGTAAGGCTTCATTTTTACACATTATACAGCACTGTTGTTTCCCTTGCTTTTCCGTTCTAAACAAATATGGTCATTGTCCTGGACCATGGACGCTCTACCGGACCGACAGGCCTCCTGCAAACAGCTCAACATGGCGATAGCCCTGTCTAACCTCGGCATAGACGAGGTGAGATTTTGTTTCTCAATACTCTACTATTGCTGCTGAGAGTCTATTCCAGACTAGCGTCACTCTGTTGAAAAAAAAATGTTTGATTTTATGTTTACAGAAGGAAAAAAAAGGTTTTTGCTCAGTTTCCTCTTCTTCTTCTCAAACACTAACATCTGACCTGGCCAATAACCTGATTTGTTGACGTCTGTCGCCATGGTAACTGGTTTTGGGTTACATAATGTCGCAATCTTATAGTAGGAGGGATTTAGACTCCTGTCTATAGTAACCATTATATGAAAGTGTTTTTTGAGAAAAAATTAACAGAGCAGACCGTGTGCGAAGGTAAACAGCATGCATGCATTTGCTACCTTATGCTTAGGTCACATTTGAAACGGCGCCCGTTCGGCATGTCCTCGGCGTAGACGCCGGCCGGCGTCATGACGCCGAGCGTGCGCCGTACTGTCAGGGTCACAATTAAATGTTCCTTTACGGCTCCCTGTCGGGGCCTCCTTGTTTTCCGGCCGGCGGCTCTCATTAATATTCATAAACTTTTGCGGCCGGTTTCTGTCAGGGACCCATCCGGTGCCCGGTCAGTCGCCCGTCTTGACCCGTGCGGCGTGTGGTAGGGTGCCGACCGGCTCTTACAGTTCGGCCGGGCAGCTGTCAGGTCCCTGGCGGGTTCCTGGCGGGATCCCGACGGGCTCCTCTCGTGTTTTTGAGCAGGTACATATATAAGCGCTGCACTGCCTGCTACCGTTCACTTCAAGTAAAGAGTACACGTCAAGTAAAGAGTAGACTGAAGTTGGCGATGCAGCGTTCAGTGCAACCTGCAAACAACTTACAAGCCCGTCTGACACACAAATACAAGGTGTAACACACACAAGTACACGATGTAACACACACGTGGTGAACTGTGCGACGTAGTCTGAGGCAGGAGTTTATATATGCTCCCTATAACCCCCTTTTCCTGACCATCTGATGCACTGATCAGCACATGTGACGTCATAATCTTAGACAGGTGCCTGTTCGGCCGCCCGACGAGTCCCCGGCAGTGAGGTTACGGCGTCGCTTTGGCGTATTTCGCCGAACGGGGCCCGAAGTGTTTTTAACTCTGAGTTAAAATCGATTCGGCGACCGCGCGGGGCCAAAAATAGGCCGGCAGCCGTCGGGAAGCCCGCCGGTCTCCGTCCAGGTCCCGTTCGGTAGTGCCAAAAAACACGCCGAACACGCGCCGAGCGGACCCCTTTCTTGAATTGTGACCTAAGCATTACCAATGCTACCTTACTAGTTCCTCGCTGTTTTTCCACCCCTCAGGAGGTGTGTGAAATTGGTCTGGTCTCAATCATGATGTTTCTGACTCAGGGAGAAGAGTGGCTGTTACAGTTCTACTCGGTAACCCGTAACCCAGGTGAGTGGTACTACCATTCAGGTGGTAGCACCATTCACCTTGAAGTGGCCTAACGGCCGTGTTACGTGGCGACCACTAAGTAAAAAAAAAGGATAGGTGAGGCAGCTCAACATGGTCATCGCTCTGTATAACCTGGGTATAGACAAGGTAAGGGTAAGTTGCTCTTCAGTGAGCTAAAAGTGGATCGAGATCACTTACCCTCACTGTTTCCGCTCCCCGCAGGAGGAGGACGGCGGGTGTCTGGGCCACTTCAGCGACCGGTACTTCACGGAGGACCGCGCGCAGGGCATCCTGGGAGAGTTCCAGCAGAACCTGCAGCAGATCGCCGAGACCATCCGGCGCCGGAACGAGGCTCTGGACGTGCCGTACACCCACCTGCTGCCGGAGAAAGTTCCCAAGGCTTTCAGAGTCTGAGGAAACTAGGACATAAACTACAAAATGGGTTTATTATAAAGGCTTATACACTAGTTTCCTATTAATAATGAATCTTTACGAAAGATACTGCTGCTAAAATAGGCTTGAACACCAGGATCGTTACGAATCCGTAGTTGGTTACACAAAGAAAATCATTTACTATGTCTACCACCTGCTGCCCGAGAAAGTCCCCAAGGCGTTCAGAGTCTGAAGAAACTAGGGCATAAACTACAAGTTGGGCTTATTATAACGGATTTATACGCTAGTTTCTTACAAATGATGAACGACGATCTATAAAGTGAATTTATCATAACGGCTTTATACGCTAGTTTTGGGATGGAAATATCGGGAGAGGGTTTTGGACCGTCCGTACAAGCTGTTGTTATTTTAACTTAAAGTTTTCGTTGCAGTGATTTTTTTTTCAATCTGAACAAGAAGAGATTCTACGAGACATGTTAAGACATGCTAAAAGTGTGATGAAAACTGAAAACTGTTTAACTGCAAGATTTAACAGCTATCTAAATGTGTTTTATAATCCATTAGTCCTTTTGGTACCGGTTGTCAGGCTATTTGACTGGAATACATTAATGTAAATATACTGGGATCATAGTTAGACATAGCTATGCTAAATTACGGGTATATTGGTATGTTTTCGAAGCGTTGATCTTGTAAGCAATACTAAGGAGGTTGAAAAAGTCACAATGCTGCAGACGTACTGTTCTGTACGGAGGTGTGGGATTTTCTTTATCTTGTGATGGACGCTAATTCGTATCAGACAATCGTGAGACACATGCTTTCACCTACGTAGTAGCAGTGTCGTCACTTCTGAGCTGTATGTTCTTTTTATACCTTGAGACCATGAGCGGAGAAAACATCAAAGAATATTTTATCGCTGAAACAAAGTACAACCACAGCAACTTATTGCCATAGTAGAAATGATACAGCAGTTATCATTGCATGTCAGATACAGTATGCTATTCTGTAGTGGTATGCTCATCAGGTAGGTTGTTATATATAAACAATGCCAATGGTTAGGGTTTATATCAAAAGGCAAATTTAAAAAAAAAATCCATGATAGAAATGTATCATGAAAGGGTTTGGACCTTCCTTTTATGCTGCTGTAAAGTTTTTTTAAAGATTTTCATTCCAGGTTTTGGTCATCTTTAGTATCTGTACTGTCATGAAAGATAGACTTGAATATATGCTCATTATTGGCACAATGGACATACAACGTCATGTTATAAGATCATAGAACGTCATGTCATAAGATTATAGTGTGCAGATCTATGTGATGAGTGTATTAATGCTTATCAAACTTAATGAGGGCTGGAATTTGAGAATAAAAGCGCACATTTATAGTTTGCAGAATGTCGTTGTTTTGTCGTCGATCTGGTCCAATACTCTCGAAGTAGAGGTTTAGGCGCCAACTTATTTTTGACCTCTTAAGCGTTGTTACAGTAATCTTTTTATAGCAAGTGAATCTACGGTGGCCAGTTTGATGCTGTCCGTAGCCATTCCAACATCTGCTTGGAGATTAATCTAATTCTCCTCAACCGTTTTAACATGGTAATGTACCAGAGACAGCTGAATGGGTTCTCAATCCGAGGACATTAGATGGTTTTCGGGGATTCCGAATCGCATCTTTTGAATCATTTTCTTCTCACAGAAAATTTTTGGCCAAGCTTCATCCAACCAATTTGAGTCTGAAATTTGTATGTGTCAAAAATACGATGTAAGACGAAAAAAATAATAATTTGTTTGACAAAATCACTCAAATCAAGACACTTCAAACACCACTTGAGAGCCTCGACTCCCCCAGAATGCATCCCCTGAGCCACCTGTGGTAAAAGGTTGTCTGCACTTCCTCACATTGCTGCGTCCCGTCAGCACGCTTCAGCCCGTACCTCATGGCTCCCGTACCGCACGCCCTAGCACTGCTGCTCGGCGCGCTGCTCGCCCTGGCCCCGAGGAGCGCCCTGGGTCGCTTCGGTGACCGGGTGACGGACGTGGTGGACGACGACAGGTTCGAGGTGATGGGCCAGGCGTACGTGCAGACCTTCACCGTCACTAACGACGTGGTGGAACTGGAAGTCGTGGTCGAGGTATGTCACTGATGCAGTCAAATATTCGGCTCAGGACAAAGAGGTCCCGGGTTCGAATCCTGCCATGCCACCGATCTTGTGCCCTCGGGAAGGCCACTTGACATGACTTTCCTCACTTCACTCGGGTGACAATGAGTATGCCAGAATTGTCATTATCTTGATCGCGGGCATTAATTAAAGAAGATGAAGTAGAATATTCCGAGCAAAGAATGACATAACTGGGTGTATTGGACAATTGACAATAAAGTACAGTTCATTTGTGAATTATTTCTTTAACAGGTCTTTAAAGACAGCTAACACGATCTCTTCACGTTTTTACTATCTATAACGAAAATGGGGGACTGTTCATTAGTCATTGCTTTGAAGAAGAAAATAGCCGATCGTCGGGGTATTTCTCCAAGTGTTTCTTGGTTTGTCATTCCAAAGCTGATGCATGCGTACCTCTGTCATGCGGGGCACGGTTGATGTTTGCTTGTTTGTTTGCCATATTTGATATTTGTTTGTTTGTTTGTTTGTTTGTTTGTCATACAGGACACGGTGGATGTGTACGAGTTCTGGTTGGTGGATTTCCAGCCTTACGAGTTCAGCCCTAACGGCACGTTGTTTAACAAGAACACGGGAGAGATGGAGCGACAGTACACCTCGCCGTGTGCCAGCTCATTCTGGCGACTGGACCTGTTCAGCCCCACATACGGTTATCCATTTCCCTTCACGGACGCAGGAAGCTTCGTGTAAATAATTTATTACCTTCTTGTTACCTTCGTCTAGAAGTTTATGCTCCTACGTGTGCGCGCGTGTGTCTGTGTGTGTTTGCGCGTGCGAATATCATAATTCGAGAGGTCGTGGAAGGATCTTCATGATTTGGGTTGTATGGTTAGGTCTTAAAGAAACCTCAAAATGATTACATTTTTTATCTCCTAGGGGCTTTTTATTGTATTGCAGTGGAACTACTGGTTTGTTTTCTGGAGGGTAGATCGATCTAGATAGCTCTTCTATTGTTTTCGCAAAGCTACAAAGCTTCCTTTTTTGTGCGAGACCTAGGAAAATTACTGTTTGAAATGTTAGATCGAAATGTCCCTTCCCAGCGGCACATGCCAGTGTTACACCTAAAGGCGGTTTACTGGTTGTGCATGCGAAACAAACAAGCAAACGCAATTCCTTAAACATGTGTGTGCCCATTTCAGACCGACCAACGGCAGTGAAGAAGGCGGCGTGCCACCCAAGCTGCTGTACAACTACTACTTCAAGAGTCCTCCCTACAACATCACGGACAACAGGGGCGAGCGGGTGGAGCGCACTACCAACAGGATGCTGTTCCAAGGTACAGGGAGAGTTCGTTCACGTCACAACAACTACACATCCCTAGTGCTGCTGCTGTTTTTAATCTGTGAAACGCAACATGGCTAAAGGATAATGCAAAAGCAACGTGGCTAAAACCCCGACCATCTCTAGGCTATGATTGGGGGTAAGTCTTGAGCAATGATCCTGAGTTGGTAGGCCAGGCCTACTAGTCTTTACAAGTCGTCTGATAATCTTTAACTATCAAAGTCAAGAGAGTCTGCTTAGATGCGATCATAAAAGACATAATAGGAGCAAACTGGAGCTAAAATAGGACGGATCCAAAACTAGTCCCAATCCAGCACCGACCTTGGTTGTGAAGTTATCGGGAGCAAAGTCGTGGGTAGATCTTGAATGTATGATAGCTTATGGGTTAGGGGTGAGATCTTCCATCTCTGATTGCCTTGTTTTGTAGGTTCGTCCTACCGTGTGCTCTGCCTATTCTAGGCAGTTAGTCAGCTAGGTAACAGGTTGGCAACTAGTCTTTAAAAGTCATCTGCGAAGTTGTGACGTCTGTCATTTCTTATTGCCTTGTTGCTCTGCAGGTTCGTCCTACCGCCTGTTTAACTGTACTGACACGAGCGGCTTTAAGGTACACACGAGTAAAGAAAGGAGCCTTTACGTATGCTTTAAGTTTTGCTTTAATATACGACCCATTGCATTGCTTGTTGTTCTTTAGGATCGTCCTACCGCCTGTTTAACTGTACTGACACGAGCGGCGGCACGGTGTGGCGCTACACCAACCAGACGGAAACGGTGGAGTTCCGCTCAACCGTCTACTTCACCAACATCCGACCCATCGAAGTAGCAGACCTCACCAAGGTCTGCAATTATCTGTTACCTCTTAACTGTTATCTTTTACTATCATTTACTTAGAGGATTACCTGATTTATACTATGATACAAACTGTAATATCTTGCTAACCACTCAAACTTATATTGTTGATACCAAACGGTTTGTACTCGATTGATTTATTATATAGCCTACTAAACATTTCTTTGTACTATTAAACGACCCATCCCAACCATTTGCTGTTCTCTGTTTTTTGTTATGTATTGTAATTGTATTCTATGTTTGGTAGTGAGGCTAAAGTTAGCTATAGCTAGAGTACCTCACCACCTTGTCTTGTATTGTCCTTGTTGAATTTGCAAAAAAAAAAAAACTGTTATATCTGTTTCCCGTAAGGTCAGTTAACTGTCGTCTTTTCTGGAGACATCATTCATGAAAGACGTTTAAAATCCTGACAAGACACCGTGAAAAATCGATACCTGACTTTAATAGCTGGGGGAACTTAACTTCGTGGAAGGAGAGGAATGGGCGCCACCTTCCAATAGCGTGCCCTAGACACAGTGCCCCTAAGGTCTCATAAAGGCTCTGTGGCAATCTCTTACATTAGAATATTCATGCGAACGTTCATTCGAACTTGCATTCGAATTTGCACTCGAATACTCATTCGAACGTTCATTCGAACTTTCCATTCGGTGTTCTGTCCCCTGGAGTTCCACTTCTATGGCCTGCTTTACACATATCTTTTTCAAGTCAACTAGAACTTAAGACGACTTGAGCTAGTCGACTTGAGCGAAAATTTCGCTGTGTAAAGGGAAATAATTCAACTCAAGTCGCATTCTAGTCAAGATGACTTGAGTCGTATCCAAACCAGACTTAAGTCGGTCAGCGGGGTGCCGAGCCCGCTAGCTTCGCGTGTGTAAACGGGCGAAGTCGACTTGAGCGTCTCTGCGTAGTAGTCAGGCAAGACCGAGCCACCGAGTTGACTTGAGGGGAGGGTGGCACAGCGGGAGTGCCAAGTCACTTTGTGGCCCTGTGTTTAAACAGAAATTTTTCAAGTTGACTTCGCCGAGTCGACTTAGAAATGGTGTGTGTAAAGTGGGCCTATGACCAGTCTCCGCTAGATCCGGTGACGGTGGGGCAAGAGATGGATGGCCTCTACCTTCCAGCACCGTCCACTTCCAGCCCCACAGAATTAACATACTGTAATTCCTGATTTTTTCACTGTACTGTTATGTTCACTGTTTTCACTGTCACTTCTGTACCGTGAACTTATCATTACAGTAAACAAATAATTCCTGGACTTTCTTTTTCCTGCACCTGTCACCACCGTGAACATATAGTTCTGTGAACATGTTCATTTTTCTCAGACCGTGAAATTTGGCTACCGTGAACATAAAGTGAATTACCATTTACCTCCACAGGGCCACTCGTACGTCCAGTCCCACGCGGAGCTGATCTACCGGATCTCGCGGATCGCCCTGGTGAACGTGGTGGTCAGCAGCTCGGCGCTGGTCAAGCCGCTGCTGAATTACGTCATCATCTCCCCTGGTTACGAACCGGACGGCACGCCGGCCACGGACCTCGCTACGGTCGAGATACAGGTGTTTGTTTGTTGGATTTTCCATATGCTACAATGTCAATGGAGGGGGAGAGAAAACAGGTGATGATCGCATTTACATGCGTTCAGATTCGACTCGTTATACCTACCTTAGACATTAGATGCAGTGTTTTTTTGTCCTCGGTCCAGTTTGGTTCTCTCGAAACAGAGTTTAGCTTAAGCATATTTTGACAACCTTGACGACACTTTTATCGGGCTTTCTTCTCTTACACTGTCAGGTATTTTGTTTCGCCTGTCAAACGGTGGGCGCGGATACTGCCCTACCAATCAGACCATTTCTTTGTCTGTGCCAATAACTTCATAAAACTGCTAAATACTTCAAAGATGTTTGAAATCTCCGATGTCGTTATTGTTCCCTCTCGGTTCACGACATCCACGTTACGTTACGTTACATTCCTCTTTCTTCTACAGGTTACCAGTTATTACCAGTCACGTAAACCCTGTATAATACTTACGTTACATTCCTGTTTTTTCCACAGTTCACGACGTCCACACAGTCCCCATCCGGAGAGAGGAACCACTACATCCACTCGGGCACTTCCCTGAACTACACGGCGTGGTTACCACTTATTACATAATCAGCCATATAAAATCTGTATAATAATTACGTTACGTTATGTTAAGTTACGTTACATTCCTGTTTCTTCCACAGTTCACCACGTCCCACACAGTCTCCTGCCGGAGAGAGAAACCACTACATCCACTCGGCCACGTCCCTCAACTACACGGCGTGGTCACTAGTTATAACCAGCCACGTCAACTCTGTATAATACTTACGTTGCGTTACGTTACTCTTCATTCCTGTTTCTTCGCCAGTTCACGACGTCCACACAGTCCCCATCCGGAGAGAGAAACCACTACATCCACTCGGCCACGTCCCTCAACTACACGGCGTGGTTACCACTTATTACATTACCAGCCACGTAAACTCTGTATAATACAAATTACGTTACTATACGTTACTGTTCTGTCCAAAATTACGTTACTATACGTTACTGTTTTTTCCACAGTTCACGACGTCCACACAGTCCCCTTCCGGAGAACGGAACCACTACATCCACTCGGGCACTTCCCTAAACTACACGGCGGACTACGTCAGTCTGCACGACCTGGACACCGTCACGTCCTACCCCACCACCACGCCGCCTTGTGTCATCACCAACGGGGCCATCAAGTAAGACTTGCTACCTTATGAAACGAGTTTGAATTGTAGTTCCCAACACAAGATATTGGACATACGATTATGCAACTCCAGTCTTCGTCAGTGAATAAGCAGTCCACCGCTTCTGTAACTTCACGTTATGTCCTACCACTAGAAAGCATACATGACTCGGTGAGCATGTGAATCATACGTAATGCAGAAAGTTTGTAACGTACCCTATCTCTATAAAAGGCTGGTTGCCAGATGACTTTCTCAGATCTCCCAGCAACTCTTGCCATGACGAAACATAACGTTACATGTTAGAAAAAACGGTTTACCACTCTAAAATCTGTTTGAAGATCACCAGTGTATCGCAATCTTTTGTTTGTTATCCTGCCATAGTCAACCAACCTTTTAGAGCGATAAGATTTTCTGGTATTTGTGTCTTGATGTGGGTTCCACTGATGAACAGACTTTCCATGCAATAAAGCCTAGTACTCTACCGCCTGTTTGTTTCCGACCAGCCTGTGTACCCAGACCTGGACGTTCATTGTTGTTCTGAAGATCACACCGCGGAACGTGGACGACGGTCTCCCCGTAGACGCCTCAGGTGAGTACCGCTCTTTTTTCCCTGCTGTAAAACATTTACTTTTACTCACTTGGTTTCCGCAAGTTATACATAGTTTCATCCGGTGTAAATACTCCTCCTCGTCTGCTTACCTTCCCTTCCGGGTCCAACTGCAATGGATCCGTCCCTAGAGGTTTCCATCCACCATTATGATAGCTTTCCTCTTATCCTCATGTTGAAGTCCCTGTTCCCTCTTAGTATACCACCGATGAATTTGTCCATAGATCTAATTCTATAGTTGTGAAAGAAAAGAGGACATCGACATCGGCTCGATGTAGAATGCACATCTCTTGTTCGGGAATCTAAATATCTTTGTTGTCCCCAGGAGTGTTCACGTTCCGGTTCGTGACGGAGCGGTGTAACGTGTAGATATTGTTGTTGTTGTTACCAGGAGTGTTCACGTTCCGGTTCGTGACGGAGCGGTGTAACGACACGACTGCTGACGAGTCTTCTGCAAACTGCACCATCGTGGACAACATCAACCCTTCTGTCATATCCATGAACATCACTATTCAGGTAAGGAATGAACAGACATTTCTGATCATATCAGTGGCTAAATTTTCGTACATTTTAGTATTTACATATCCTATTCAGTAGCGTTTGTATTCAAGTGGTTAGTTACAATGAATCTTGACCAAGAGGTCGCGTGTTCGAATCCTATGGCAAAGGGACGTTAAGCCTGTAGACTATTGTGAAGCTAGGGGAATTTTCACCGTATACAAAACAAGCTGTAAATACTGTGCGTAGCATCTGTCTTCTCTGACACAACTAGTGGAGGAGTAACTGTTACTGTAGCTGAACTTTTTGCTAAACTGAGTTCGGATCACGATATTTGCTTTCTTGCGTAGTTTTAGAAGTTGAGATCATGTTTACGTTGTTGGCAGACGGTTGTGAGACGGTTGTGGATCTGTCCGTTTATCTGTACTTTGTCGGCAGACGGTTGTGGACCTGTCTGACGAGGACCGGGACAACCCATGGCTGGTTGTGTCTAAGGTTGTCGGGCTTGGTCTCACGATTATTTGTACTTTGTTGGCAGACGGTTGTAGACCTGTTAGTTTATGTCTACTTTTGTCGGCAGACGGTTGTGAACTGTCGGGCTTGGTTTCACGATGATTTGTACTTTCTTCCCAGACGGTTGTGGACCTGTCTGACGAGAACCGGGACAACCCGTGGCTGGTTGTGTCTAAGCTTGTTTAAGATCAGGTTTGTTTTCTTTGTCGGCAGACGGTTGTGGACCTGTCCGACGAGGACCGGGACAACCCCTGGCTGGTCGTGTCTAAGCTGTCGGGCGCGGATAACCTGGACCTGCGCGGAGGGTTCGCGGCCGGCCGCAGGGGGGTCAACCACCTAGAGGACATCCGCATGGAAGTCAAGTAAGTACAGAAATGCTTGGTTGCAAACCTTGAAATATCCTACGACAGTATTTTTTTAGAATCTGTCGCAAAGACAAAGGTAGCGTTCGATGCAGTGTTATGTGTGCTTTTCTCCAGAGCCATGCTTAGTCACTGTTCTTGGAAGTCAACGCACATATCCATTACGGTGTTTGTGGCAAATCGGCGTTCTTAAATAAACAGTCCGCGCGTGTCCAGAACCGTGCCTGGGGCAAATCTACGTTCTTGGATACGCGGAAACTACCCAGAACCGTGCCTGATCTTAACCCTAATCCATTCAGGCATAGAACTAGACAGGCACGGTTCTAGTTACGACAACGGGAACGCCTGGCACATACGCCTTGCCCCAGAATAGCAATGTTTTAGGGGATCCCCCATTTCAGCACCAAGGACATCGCCCGCGCACGCACCGACACTGCGCTTCTCAGCAGCTCCCCTACCGAGACTTTAATGGAGTGGATACGCCCGCCGCACGTACTTTTCATCAACGCAGCCTCGCCCCAGATTAGTGTTTGGGGGATCCCCCATTTCAGCACCAAGGACATCGCCAGCCCACGCATCGCCATTGCACTTCCGCCACCTCTCCCGATGATCTGGGCCACGCAGGGACGCTCTGTCAAGCCCATACAGGCTCGTCCTGATAGTTGAAGGTCTTGGTGGAGTGTAGCCTCCTGTGCAGACTTTCTAGCGGGTAACGTGTGTTTGTATGATCGGTAGATGGTGGCGGTTGTCATTTCGGTAGAACGGCCTTGATCATGGGGGTGGTAGAACTGTATGCACGGAGAGAGATGTATCCGCCTGCCAGATGTCCCATTCAGGATGGCGTTTAGATTACACTTAACTGCCTGTTACACCTAAAATTTGCAGTGTAAGCATTGAGGCAACGAGTTCTACTCCATGGTAGTTCTAGAAAAACAATAAGTTCACCTTTGTATACAAGACGTTGTTGTTGCTCTGGCAGGTTCTATCCGGAGTTTCTGTGGGACTACTTCACCCTGGACCTGAAACTGTTCATGGTCTGCATTGGAGACCAGACCAGCCATCCTACAGTGAGTACACAGTCATAGGATGTGGATCTTTTTATGTTTCAACGTTCTCAACTCGGTGCACCACATACAGTAAGACTTTGTAACACTGTATGATACACTTTTTCACTGAAGGTACATGTATCTGAGAGATAGATGTAATAGAATGTTTCCTTGTTCATTCCTTACATATATGCCACACAAGATATCCATTCATCCATCCATCCATTCATTCCTTCATTTATTCAGCCATTCATTGTGACAGTCACATTCTTTGCTGAATGTCTATTCTGAGTTTTAAATCTAAGAAATTGAAGTAATGTTCTTGTCATGTGTGTCTGTGTGTCTGTTTCTGCACTGCAGTTTCCATTTGCTCCACCATAGGAAGCAAAGCAATATATGTTTGTGTACATTATCGTTGAGAGGGGGTGAAGTCTGCCATCTCTGATTGCCTTCTTGTTATCTGTATACAGGGTTGTCTGGCGGTTACTAAGGACAACCGCTACATCGCCCACCTGGAGGATGACTTTAAGTACCAGTACGTAGACACGGGTGGCGTTACTCAACATCTCAACATCAGCGACATCCATGTGAGTCAAGTCTTAAACTGTACCTTATACTGTTTTATCCAGGACCGTGCCTGTTATGAAATAAAAACTAAACCTTTCTTGCAACACTAGAATAAATTGGGCTACTCGTCTGCTCTTCTGAATGTATCTGTGGTAACTATTTATAGGTAACATTATCTTTTAAATGTAAATCATGCCTCGATTCAGCAAATTTATAGCTGCAATGGCCCGATTATCTGTTGGATGATTTTATCATTGAAAATAGTCATTCATTCATAGGTGAAGAAGTCTGGTGAACTCACCTCTAGTGAAGAGGTGGAAGAAGAGGTGATTACATTATTCTCCTGATTATCCTTTAAATGATTGTGCTTCAAGTTTACCAGTTTGTACAATTTCTCATAAAAAAGGAGATTTTAGCTGCAATTTCTGATACAAATTTTAGCTGCACAACACTTAGTCAAGGGGCAGTGAAAGAAGTAATAATGTCTCGTCCTTTGGACTGCAAGTCTGCAACCCTTTCCTTAGTAAAAGGAAAGGGTGAGTCACAACAGCTGGGATTCAAACTCCCAACCTCTTGATGCACAAGCAGCATTGCAGGCCACTCACTCCACAAAATGCTGTCAACTGCAGTTGGAAATCCTTCAGTCTTCACTTTTTTTACATCAATCATGTTCTTGGTAGAACACATGTTTTGTCAGTATTGTTGGCCGTTTCCACGAATCATAAATTAATTCACCCAAAATCTGTGTTGGTGTGTGCTTCACCAGGATGCCGAGTGGGATCCTGCTAACCCCCAACAGAGCCTCAACACCCACGGGTACAACACCACCCACCACGTGTACTACATGGAGTTTACCAACACGGCACTGTCATCCGAGAGGAACTCTTACACCATCACAACAGTAAGTCTCCTGAAAATAGTTCCATCAGGTTGTTTGAGTATATACTAATCTGATATAGGGCTTTTGTTTTACACAACCAATATTGTCTCTTACATGTATGTAATACGTTTTGGTGTCTATCAGACACCTTCCTCAGAGCTTCTGACTGGAGTTCGGCTTCTCGGCAATATTGGTTGTGTAAAAAGAAACCCTATATCCAACAGTACCTGTTCTTAACTGTGCAATAGTGTCCTAGATGTCCGATACAGCATGTTGGCAGAATATGTGCTTGTGCAAAACCTGTGATGTATTGTGTGTTAAGCACTTTGGCAGAACGTCTTGATTATGGCTGTAGGATAACATCCTACCCATAGTTACATGTATGAAATGTCAGAAAAGACATTAAGTCTGCAAGGGGCAAAATTCTGATGCAATGTTGACCAAAATGAAAACTGATGAAAACTGTGAAAAATCTTTGTTTCGCACAGTCTTTAATTTCTGTTGACATGCTAATAGTAAAGTTGGTGCAGTAGCCAAGTGGATAGAGTGTTCACCTTGCATTTTGTAGATAATGAGTTTGATACTCATGGAAATCATACCAAAGACTTTAAAGAATGACCTATACTGCTTTCTCTGCTTAGTTAGTACTGAGCTTTTGGGTATTGGAGTTAACACTTAAATGCACACCACTACCAATGGACTAGCCTTCTGCTGTTACAGTAGTGATTGTGCAAAGTTGTGTGGCCCAAGGGCTTTTCAACCAGAGATGAGCAAAAAGAAAGGATTTTGCCTTACCTGATGTATCATGTTACACATTCTCACCTGCCTGATGTATCATGTTACACATTATTCTCACCTGTGCAGGTGTACCGACTGATCGAGAGGCCGGGTAGGAAGAGGAGAGAGGTGACAGATGTTACTGACGTTATCCTGAACAGTCATGTGGTCAAGCGGGACATCATCAGCAGTGCACAGCTGCCACAAGGTAACACAGGCTTGTTTGTTTGTTTGTTTCTGTTTCATTCACACAGGGTGGCCCTCTCATAGCAATGCTTTAAAGTGGGACCCTGCAGAACATACATTACATACATGTACATACACTGTATATAGCATGCATGCATACATATCATACAAGTACAGAACACTTGTCCAACACTTCACAGAATAGTCCGTATCTAAGTCTGTTGGGTGGGAGGGGGCTGGACGATAAAATGTGTTTGAAACATTCCTTTCCTCGCATCTTTTGTGCTTATTATTTTGTTGTTTGATAAACTGTTTCATTTTTAGAAAATTTGAAGAAAACAAAGTTATCTGTAGACTTTGTTGCAACAGTATTAATACTGCATTTACGTGTAGACCATGCAGTGATAAAGGTCTTTCATTCGTTACAACTATACTAAGAGAAAACCACCTAACCCTTTCTCCAAGGAAACCACATCGCATTTGAGTTCCTGGGGTGTCCAGATGAATCTGTGTACGACAAAGGATTTATGCCACAGTTGCAGCCAACCTGTTACAGTAACTACATTTAGGACATTGTGTGTTCATTTTGAATAAAAGAAAACCAACCTCTCTCTCCCCCCCAGGAAACCACATCGCGTTTGAGTTCCTGGGGTGTCCGGACGGATCTGACTACAACAAAGACTCTCGCCACTGTGAATGCACGACCCATGACCACCTGTACAGTAAGGACACCTTCCAGTGTGAACCCATCGACGTGAAATCTGATGACCGTACTCCGACTAAGGACAGTGGAGCAGCTGTTGTCATCGCCAATATGTCTCTGATAGGTTCCCTTGTTGTTATATGCATTCTGGGTCTTTATGAAGGGTGATCCTACAAGTTTTTGGAACTCGTAAAATGCGTCAGAATCTGTCAATGTATGTAAACTGTAGTTCTGAAACAAGAAAGGATAGCATAACAAGTTCTTTAAAAAATATTCGTGGTGAATACAAAGTGCAATCCAGCTTTCTGGTAATCGTGAAATGTATAAGAAAGTGTCTATTATGTGCCTTGAAAAACTATACAAAAATATTTAAACCTTTAGAATGAAATATTATATTTCTGATGATGAATGAAATATATTGATGATGTATCAAACGTGTCCAGGACATGATTTTTGCAAAAGAAAAATAATAGAAGGGAATGATTCTGCAGTTTTTAATGGCACTTCAGTACCAAGGATATCAACACACCCTTTTTCAATAGCTGATTACCTGCAAACAATATCTTTAAAAGAATAATCACAGACTAAACTTGTTGTTTCTCCTATTTATTCAAAATCCTCCATGTATTAAAAATTAACAAGTTTCAGCCATTCCAAGCACTACCATTCTACCTAAACACTCAACCTCTACATCTTATCATTAGATAAACTTTCCCCATTGGTTGCTTGGTACCACTTCTGCCAACGAAAGCAGTGATATTTTGTCTTTATAAAGACAGGACATTGCTCTTTGGATGATGTTATTGTGTAATTGTTAAATTCCACAAGTATATTGCCTTCTTTGGATATTTGCAACATAAAAGAAATTACATGTATGTCTTTGGTAAACAAAAATCCTAGAATTCAAAATTTTCCTATTTTAAGAGATTTTCTGAATTCATGTGTTTAATTGGAAATCTACATTACTCATACTTACTAAAACTGCCTAGGTATTATAATAAATACTATCATCTTTGTGCAGACTACACTACCTACATGTAAATGTGCTTACCAAACAAATACATCCTGCAACAATCCTTGTGGTTTAAAGGTAATTCAGTGACAACAGATATATGAAACATATGATACAGATACAAAACTGTTCAGCAAGAAAAGTCTAAACCTTCTGAGTTCATGTCAGTTGAAATCCAGATCTTATGACTTTGCTAAACAATTGCTTTGGTCATGAAGCTCGATTGGTAAAACAACAACAGTTACTACATTTGATACAATGATTGTGAGTAAAATGATCGATTGACTTATGAAATATACAAAAAGCCTATGATTGAATGTTTACAGACCCATGAAATGCAAAATATGTACAGCTCTAAAATTGTCGAGTTTGTTAAAACTATGCCGATCAGTTAAGTACAACACCACTAAAAGTTTTAACTACATTTCTCAAGGCACGTGACACAGAAACTACAGCATATCTGTGTTGCCTTCATCATCATCATTCATCCTCCATAGTAGAGGTGGAGTATACAAAGTTAGCTCGCCAAAACTGTTTGTCATACATCACAGAGAAAAGTTGCCTTTAGGTACATTTACTGATAAAAACTGCCTTTTCTTCTTAAATAAGTAGCTTGTAAGTCTACAAATCTAAAACAGCAGCATCTCTTGATCATATATTAAAGTTCATTGCATTGTATCATTGCTCTAAAATCTTTAACATTAGGCATCTGCTATCTAGAAGAATTCTTTGATCAGTCAGTCTTCATTACTGCAACAATAATAATGCCTTGCATTATATAAATCATCTTGATACATGTCAGATAAAATTTTCCTCCTCATACAGCAGTGGTCATGTATATTGTGCTGATAAAAGGTCTAAAAGATTTTGCAGTCACTGTGGACAAATGAGGTCTATATTTTTTTTTGTAAACGTTTAAATTACTGCATTTTAGGACCCTGATTTGTCATGGCTCTTCTCACAGCAAATGCTGCATTATTATACTTAAAAGCTTCCTTATTGCCAGACGTATCCATAGAACTTGCAATAGTTTTTTGTTGTCAGGAAACCCTATCATACCCTTCCTGAGAACTCAGGGTTGATAGGTGGTTGCCTGGATTCCCCCTCGGTAGCCTCGTAAGGCGGCGGGGGTGCTGGCTTTCCTCTTCTTCTCCCTGTTGTCCCCTGACCCGACCTCTGACCCTGAGATGCTGACCCCTGACCTGGTGATGGCCCTGCCCCCTGACCTGGCGATGACCTCTGACCCATGTAGATGGCTTGTTGTGGTGAGGAACCCTGGGGTAGCACGACCTACAAATGTAGCATGATGTACAAAATGACAAAACAGCTCAGAAAAGAACAAGAAATGGTCAACATGCCTTCAAACACCAGAGTTATCAACCAAGGATTGAGGTGTTCAAAAACATTTCTTCCTAGAACTATCACTAGAGTGGAACTCGCTGTCACCAAGTACAGTAGGGGCATTGTCATTTAGATATCCTCAAACATGACTTTCCTCACTTAACTCAAGTGAAAATGAGAATTGTATGTCCTGTATTTGTTCTATGCGTGGGACACAACACCAGCAACAGCTGCCTTTGTTCCACATGTGTTGTTACAATTTAAACAGATCAAATTAAATCAAACAATGTTTAGAGTTAGTTGTCCAAAGGATAGGTGTAACAAGTTGTTCAGTATAGCTAGCTGTCGCTGCGCGCGTGCTTGTGAAGCTGTTGTGTTATGCTGAAGAGTGGTTATACCTCAGGTATACAGAGGAGATAGATACTGTGGTACAAACCTGTGTGTGAGGGCTGGTGTGTTACACTGAAGGGCAGTTATACCTCAGGTATACATAGGAGTGTAATACAGACTGTGTGCCTGCGAAGCTGGTGTGTTACGCTGAAGGGTGTTTATACCTCAGGTATACATAGGAGTGTAATACAGACTGTGTGCCTGCGAAGCTGGTGTGTTACGCTGAAGGGTGTTTATACCTCAGGTATACAGAGAAGACAGATGTGGTACTCACCTGTGTGTGAGGGTGTTTATACCTCAGGTATACAGAGAAGACAGATGCTGTGATACTCACCTGTGCGTGAGGGCTGGTGTGTTATGCTGAAGGGTGGTTATACTGGCTACACAGTGGAGACAGATACTGTGATACAGACCATGTACCTGCAAAGCTGTGTTATGCTGAAGAGTATATGTATACTACATGTATGTATACCTCAGGTATACAGAGGAGACAGATGTGGTAGACAGATGTGGTACTCACCTGTGCATGAGGGCTAGGGTGCAGGGACTGGCCGGCAGGTGATGAGACGGGGACGTACACGTACTGAACACCTGGGGAAGCACCTGGCGGAGGTGAGGAGACAGGTACACCTGCGGAGGGGAGTCATCAAGATTATGTTGATCAAGTTTAACATCCAGGTAGAACATTACAAGTGTATAACATAACAGAATTTACAACATAAAGCAAGCAACTGTACATTCTGCTTTTTCAGTCCCTGATGAAAGATAGAAGATGGTAGTAATTCTAATGTCCAACCATTTTTCCAGTTACTCATAAATAATTTATTGACTTATAGTGCTGTTCTGTTATATTTCAATTTTCTGAAGTTGAAAAAGAGTGATGGATTGAGTAAGTGAGGAATGTATAATCTTTTTCATTTGTTTAGAATATATCAACTCCTTAAAAAATACATTTAACCTTCTAAAAACATGCCCCGTGCCCTGGGCAGAAACAGAGGTAAACATGTAACATTACATGTGATACTAACCAGGAGAGGCCTGTACAATGACCACAGGCTGCTGAGGGGGGGTGGAGAACTGCTGCTGGGGGCACCAGCTAACACACAAGCAAGCAAACAAACACACACACACACCATAAGTAGAACTGCCATACTGACCAGGTGAAGCCTGCACGATGACCACAGGCTGCTGAGTGGGGGTGGAGAACTGCTGCTGGGGGTAGGGTGGGGGGGCCGAGTGGTCCTGGGGAGAAACCAATAGTAGGTATATTACTTAAGTCTAAGAATGCTAGTAGCACTGCTGATTCTGTTCAAGTTGAGAACAGAATCAGAGCAGTGCTAAACAGGATGAACAAGAAATCAGAGATTACACACCACTCAGAGGTATATAATGTTCACAACAACTGCTGACAATTTCATCACTGTCATTGAAAGGAATGTTTAACCTAACGCTACAAAAAATTATTTGAAGAGACCATATGCTCATACAGTATCACACACAAATGACACCACAGTTTCCACCAGGGCAAGTCTACATGGCTTGCCCTGGTGGAAACTTGACAATGACTTTCCTAACTACTCCACCTCTCTGCTGAAGTAAGAAACAGTGACAGGCTGAATAAAGGTTCTAAACAGGAACTATGCAGCTCCAGATGTCTTACTGAGGGACGACTGCGTGTGCAAGATGTCGGTTAGCTGAGGAATGAATCCCCTCGAATTCACATTGCTGGTGTAACAAACCTTACCTGTGGAGACCATATGCCCACACAGCCCAGTATCACACACACGAAGGACAGCACAGTCTCCACAGCTGACAGCACCAGGGAAACCCCATGCAGAGCCTTCACGGCGAGGCAGCTGCTGACCGGACACATGTCTCTACAACATCACTCTACTGGAGTAATCTTCAATGTATTACTAAGTATAACAATTGTAACAAACCTTACCTGGGGAAACCATGCCCACACAGACAGCACCAGGGATGCCCATGACTTTCCTAAATATATAGCTACAACATCATTCTGCTGGTGCAACCCTACATGTCTGAAGACTTTCCTACAACACCACTTTGTTGGTGTAATAAACCTTAGTACAACTTACCTGAGGAGACCATATGCCCACACAGCCCAGTATCACACACACGAAGGACAGCACAGTCTCCACGGCTGACAGCACCAGGGAAACCCCATGCAGAGCCTTCACGGCCAGGCAGCTGCTGACTGGACACGTGTCCCGTCCGTTGAGGCCGATTGAGGACATGACCCAGGAGGCGATCGTCAGCAGGACGGAGAGGGTACCGAGCGTTGTCAAGGCAACCATCTGGGAGGTAAACAAATAACTAAAGGTCAATGACCTGAGCCAGATGTCTGTCAGCATGGTAACTAGTGTTGGGTTACATCATGTTGCAATTTTATAGCAGGACGAAGAGAGTACCCAGTGTTGTCAGGGCTACCATCTGGGAGGGAAAGGAATAAGGTCAATGACCTGAGCCAGATGTCTGTCACCATGGTAACTAGTGTTGCAATTTTATAGCAGGAGGGATTTAGACTCCTTTTAGACCCAGGAGGCTACCATCTGGGAGGGAAAGGAATAAGGTCAATGACCTGAGCCAGATGTCTATCACCATGGTAACTAGTATGGGTTTACGTCATGTTGCAATTTTACAGCAGGAGGGATTTAGACTCCTTTAAGACCCAGGAGGCGATGGTCTGCAGGACAGGGCTACAATCTGGGAGGGAAATAAAAGATTTTCTTCACATTGCAATACCAATGTTATCAATACATAGTAGAACACAATGCAGCAAATCCTGCTGAATGATACTGTGCTGCACACACCTTAAAATACAGCACTAAAGCAACAATGAATATTAATACATGTACTGCATAATTGCAGTGACAAAGTAGATGGCAAAACATTTACAAAACAAGTGTAATCAAAGTGACAGTAAAAGTGCAGGGAAACACTACAATGTATTGTAATAAGCTTCAGGATTGCAAACATTTAATACAAATTTTACGACATTTAAAAATGTTTACACTTGATTCATGAAGTTGCTTTTTTATTGCAAGAGAGTTTGAAACTCACAATGCATCGGTTCCCCTTCTCATAGTGTATGGAGGCAGCCAGGATACCCGTAATCAAAGCCTGGAAGAACAAGATACAATTGGGATACAGAAGTTAACCAAGGGTACTAAATGAGGTAATAATGACACAAAATGTTGAACATTTGTATCCTATGAAAGTCTGTCTTTTAATAATTACATGTATGTTAAAAGATCAAGTAACTGTAACATTGTATATGTACATGAAAAATAACTCCTCCAAATGAAATAAATACTGTTCATTAGTGGCTTCAAATGGCTAAGTGGCTAGGCGAGCTAGCTGACATGGGATTGAGAGGTCATGGGTTTGATTCCTGGCATTCTTGGCTTGTGTTCTTGGGAAAGGCATTTTACACAACTTCCATGATTTTCTTCACTCCACCCATGTGTAAAATTGGAACCTGACTTCGGTTGGGGAAGTAAAAGGCAGGGAAGGAGAGGGATGGACTCCACCTTCCACTGCCTTATACATCGGATCAACAACCCACTGCCCCTACTGCCTCAAAAAACTATCATAATGGGACTTCCAACTGTTCCCTACTCACAAACACGCCACTCCAGATAGGCCCGGAGGCCTGGTGCAGGTAGGCGTCGGGGAAGCTGAGGTCGGAGGTCAGGCCAAAGATCACGCTCAGCGCGCCGAACACGATCAGCGAGATCCCGATGGAGCGAACGGACCTCGGGTTGATCGCCATCTTGCCATCGCACCTAAGGGAAATAGTATTGTCTATAAAACCATGGAGTTGTTTTAAATTTCTACCTCATGATAAAAATGAGTGCACTAAGGCATCAGCCTGAACTCTTCGGGAAAACAACGGGGTTAGACTGGACTGTATCAGACTGGGCTGACACTTATTCAACTTGTTACTTCTGTAATTGGATTATAACTTTAAGAAACAAAACTAAAGCTGAGCTGAAAGTGCAAAGATTAGGTTTAACACGTCGTTTGGTGTGATATAGCCAGCTGCCGCCGTGCCGCGTGCCTGCAAGGCTGGTGTGTTATGCCGAAGGGCAGTTATATAGATACAGATACAAAACTGTCAAGTTGACATAAAAACTCTAAGGAGAATTTAGTCTGTATCTTGGTACAAACAGTTCCAGGCAGTGAATATAGTGAGATCCTACAGTCCTCCTCAAAGCCCTTGTCTAAACTTTTATATGCCAAATAACCTGTAAACATACCTTATAATCCAGCATGACTCTGACAATGACTGACAGATTGTACATGTGTTGCCATGGCAACAAGCAGGCAGAGAAGGCACACATGTACACAATTTGGTTTTCAGGTGGTTCTTATTTATATATGAAGACATCTTCTGAATCTATCATCCTTTCTGAGAGAGTACAACATGTATCAAACCCTTCCCTAAAACTGTCCTGTATAACATTCATGTTAGATTCTTGCCAACAACAGAAGGCAACTTTCACAGGCACAGGGTGACTGATCTGACCTATTGATTTTTCAGTAGTCGTAGTCGTAAAAAGGCAAGTGGTTGAACAAATGGAAAATTCACAGTCTACAAAACACAGTCTGATAGAATGTAGTCTCTACCAGACTAACTACGCAGGCTACGTAAAGGAGAAAATTTGCCAGGGGAGTTTGGCCACCTTGTAGGTTTGACTGGGCACCTTCGGAGGGAAAGAAACTACCTCCCCGCGGCCGGACTCCCTTGGCCAATTTTACTTTCTTTTTTGCTGAATTCTACGATCCGTATTCCTGTAGAAAGGCCTGGTGGAGGCTCAACAGAATGTTGCATTGGCTTGTGTTCCACCTCCAGCAAAGGAAAGGAGTGTGACATTAAGACTGTCTAGACCCACTACTTCAGATCCAGACCATAGACTTTTCAGCACTGACTCAGATGAAGGCAATGTAAACATAAACATACACATCGATAATTTCTGCTCTCGCTGAGGTAGTCGTAAAGAAGGCAAGTGGATGAACAAATGGAAAATTGAGAAACTTGGTGATAAAATGTTGTACATGTATTGGCTTGTGTTCCACCTCCAACGAGACAGAGACTAGACAAATACTCCAGACTAAAGATTCTCAGCCCTGACTCAGTCAGGCAATGTAAACATCCCCTTCTCTTGTCACAATATTCACAGACCACAAACACACAAGGGGCACCTTGAATAGGAATGCTGTGCTGTTTATTAGTGGCATTCCACTTAAAGTTGCACAAATACAGAGCCACCAAAGTGTGGGTTTTATAAAGTTAACAACAAACTAATTACAGCTCAAGGTCACCCTGGAAGTACTGATCAGAATATAAATACCATGAGTGTTAGAATATGTTGAAAAATGCTACAAAAGTCTAAGACATAACTGATTTGGTTAACATACACAGGCCAGAAGTATTTAGTATTGATCTTGTAACCCAAAAGTATCATATTTTCCTTTGTACTGTGTTGTAGATTGTATCATGGCACATGGGCAGATCTACTGTGTAGATTTTACACAGACTGACAGATTGTAATTATTTGACTTGCAGTATTGTGCCACACCCATGCATTACATCACACCACAAATCACTATAGTCTCTGTATGCCCTACTTTGGCTGGCAGTTGGCTATTAGGTATATATACATAGTTTACATATTACATTGTTTTTGTTACTAATTACATACGACAGTTTGCTGAAACTACTACTGCATGGTCAATGAATTCTACGGAGGCCAAACTCCCCTGGCCAATTAGTCTCCCTATTTCAGAGTATTTGTTTAAATTTCACTGTTTTGAACCTGCAAATAGTTGTTTATAGTCTGGTGGAGACTCAGCTATGGGGGTGATTGAATCACTGGAATTCACCCACTAAACCATTACAAGGTCCATTTGTGGTAATGATCCTGCCTGCCAAATGGGCACTCTATTGCAGATTAGAGTTGAACTTGACCATGGAACTTGATAGACTTTCTACCACCACTCAAGGGTAGTCTGTCTCTCAAAATACTGTAAATGCATCTATTTTTACTGTGTTCGTATTTCGTGGTAAGAATTTTGTGGTGTTTTACATTTGAAACAATTCTAGTGCTTAAGAAATGGTAACACATATTCACTTGTCAGTTTACAGTAGAGAGCTAACCGTAAAAACTGCTAGTATAAAAATAAAACCACTGCAAAAGTTTCAGTATTTTCAGTACTGGTAATTGTTTTTCACCCTGGCCAACAGCTGTCACCATGTCATACATAAAACAGAGATAATTGTTTTTGCTGAAAACTTGCCCAAATTCCAATATGGATGCTGATTCGATTTGGAGAAACGTTGCAACTGATTTTGACCTTGATCCAACATTCTATACACCAAAATGGAGGCACAATTTTATTTGTTTTACCATGAAGGTATAATGGGTCACTATAATATAATGAGTTATTATACCTTAAAGGTTTGTGTTTTCTAGAAGCATGATTAATAAAAAAAAGTGTCCAAAGAATTCTGTTTACCAAGGGCTCCCTCCGAAGGCAGTCCAAACTTTTAACAAAATCTAGCAATCTATAAATTTATGATTTTATCAATGGCTAACATACAATGAATTAAATTTTAAAAAAATCACAGTGCTTACGCAGTTTCTGTTTAACATAATTTGTCATCAGATATACATGTGTGGCTTTACGTCATAGAAATCCCCCACTTTAACCCTCAGCCTACTAAGACAGCCGTTTGGCACCGAATTTGTATTGTTTATGGGGTTAGGCAGCAGGGAGGAGGTTAACACAGAAGGTGAGTCATGGTTATTTTGGCAGACAGAAACCGGAAGGACTGTTTGTTGAACAATGGCGATTCGCACATTCTACAGATTTTCGACTACAAGTTTAAGTACAACAAAATAATTGCAAAACACAACCTAACATTCCACGTCCACGTAACATTCTGTTCTGTTCATGTAAGTTGATGATTTTATACACACACAAGACAACGGTTCTGTGTTTCGTTATAGTCTCCACCATACTCCTTTTGCAGGCTGAAAAGGGGATGCTGTAAATTATTGGCTAGAGAAATCTCTGACCGGCTAGTATTCTCTGGCTAATTAATGCCCTTTTTAGGCCGATTTCTACGATTTATTTACCTGCAAAGGAGCTGGTGGAGACTAGTTTCGTTAGGTGCCCCTATGCGACTAAGTAATAGGTCATTGTGTGTACATAATATACCACCGAAACAAAGGAAAATGTCTAGACAGAAACCATATCGTTTCGTGTAACGATCTAGAGTTGAAAGAAAAGTCCAACAAATACCTTCACTCCATGGTTGCTGTTTCAGATAGCGTTGTTTCACAGAACTTCATAGCTTGAAGGGACTGTCTTTGGCCGAGTACTGGTGCAGACAATACGTCAGAGAGCTAAAATTAAGACCGCGCACATCCCACACACATTCACACACACTGATCCGATTTTGCCGGTTCAGAAAATGTCAACAAAGCTATTCACTTCCGGGTTTTGGGACTAGTCGATTGTATAATTGGGGGAGCACAAGAAGTTCTATTTATTCATATTGATAAATGTAAAAGTAACTTAACTGTGCCTAGTTAAAGTTTTTAGTATTAGCACATAGCATAATACAGAAATATAAACATCAATGGCGTTCTTGTGAGTTTTTTTAATGATTTTTTATTTCAAGGTGGACTCCCCTATTTTTGTATGGACTCGTCTATCATATCTTGCCCTAGGGGTAACATTGCACATGGGGGCCTGGCAGTATTAAAAGAGCGGCTAAAAATAAGTTATCTAAGTTGCCATTATATATTATAATGTTGACGAAATTCTTGACGAAACACTGACGCATATGTAGACTGACCAATAAAAAGAATATCACACAAAGGTAGTGTTTTTGTTTTAATTTAGTAGAAGCAAAGAAGTAAAACACAAATTCAATGTATTGTGAGTAGATATTTACACATTTGAACATAAGTTTGACTCTCAGACACGTAGTATTGTCAATTAAAACACGCCGTTCTCTGTGGGCACAAGGTCGTTGCAACAATGTTCTTTGAAACATCCTAAGTACATTCTCCGAGCATATTGAGGTGCTTGCACCCACGTGGCTGTGACGTGAGTATCGTGCGCCAATCTGGTTGGTTAATGTCATCATCATGGTTAACATCAGAAGTAGCTTAGTAAATTCCAAATCGTGCTTTTTTGACTGCAGTCGCAAATTCATGAGAATTGTGCGTGCAAATGTATTGGTATGACTTGTCAACGTCCAACCAGTTTGGGAGCTGAGCTATCTAGCAATATAACGTTATATACCTTAAAACTTCCACTTTAATTCTACCTAGTCAAGTAAAATATGTACAACTACACATCAGTTACCCTGATAAAGTATAGCAGGATTACAAGTCAGTCCCTGTCATGGATATGTACTAAAAAGTTTTTTCCACCGTGCAGTTTCAGACAATTCTATTAATAGTCGCCGGAGCTTCCTGGGCACTTTGAACTGCTTGCGTACTCTCCAAGCAGAACAGAATTCGGTGGTGTGGAAAGGCGCTATTGTTATTTGGCAGGCAAGGGTGGAGGTAGCTATTGTGTTATTGTAAAAAAAAATCCGCCGTGACTCACCATGAAAATTTCTCGACATTTTAACAGCTTCAGAACTAATTCCATGAAGCTTTGGCACCATAAAAGGGCGTAGGGCTACAGAGCACTATGCAATTGCGCAAGCGTTTTTTTTATCGGACACATGCAGAGTGATATCCAAATCCTTTCGTTTGTAAACAATTCCGACTTGTGAAGGCTGTTTTCTTTATGAAACGACTGACCACATCTAGCACTCACTCAGCACAATAAGCATTTCAACCATGCCAACATTACCCTAATATAAATTTTACAAAGATTATTAAACTAAGATTAGGTGTTCCGTCTGTGAGCCAATCACATGTCCTAACCGCCCACGAGTCTAAAATTGCCACCGCAAATCATTGTCTTTAAATCAAATCAAATATAACCTTAAATTTGACCTCTCAGAGGCGATATCACGTATTTTCCTGCTTTAAAACGTTTTGGACAACTTTCTCAACTGATCCCTGTATCCCTAATAAGACATTTTTTCATCTACGTAACTACCCAAGGCAAGAAACCGTGCCTGACACTAACAAATTCAGGCACTGAGGGCTAGATAGGCGCGGTTCTGTATACAATGATTACAATCTATGGTAGACCGCGTTGCCTATGAGGGGGGGGGGGTGAATATCATTGGCTGCGGGCCCCTGTTGTAGGGCGTGGTCTGCGCCTCGATAATGCGTATCCAGAACCGTGCCTGATCCTAACCATAACCCAACGAATTCAGGCATAGAACTAGATAGGTACGATTGTGGATACGATAGAGATTATCCAGAACCGTGCCTGATCCTAACCTTCGCCCACTTCATCATCTGCTGTAAAACAACCTTAAGGGACGTACGTCTGTAAAATTACATGGGCGCGGTCCTGGATACAAATTACAATCTATTATGTCAATCTATTAGAGTCCGCATAATGAGGGTGTAAATATCTGCGGGCCCCTGTTGTACGGCGTTGTTTGCGCTTCGATGTGCTGCAGGTGCGGCACCGTCCGCTTGATGTCGCCGTGCTTCTGGATGTACTCCCACTTCCACTCCGGGTGCAGTACGAACTCCCGCCGGTAGGGGCGCGGGTTGCAGCCGTACACCTCAGCGACCTACAACGGTAAGGGGCAACGAACAAGAGTTAGTGATACTAATAATGAAAAAAGGCACTTGTGTATAGAACGTTGGACATGTCTAACCATACGCCACGTTAAGCTGGATCTTTGAATCCGTGAACAATTTAATTAGGTTGGTGAAGGATTGAACACTGCAGCAAAGTTCTCTATTCGCAACCACGCCGACGTTTCGATGACCGACTGTCATCTTCATTACACTGTGCACTGAAGTTCGGTGTTACTGATGTAAGTTTGAAACCGCATTGTTAGCAGTTACTGTTGAACGCTGCTAAGCTTTAGTGAACCAGTCATCCTTGCCCTGATGAAGATGACAGACTGTCATCAAAGTGATTCTGAACAGGTGGCTGTGAATAAAGAACTTAGATCTTTGAATTTTTCGGATTGGCGTTCTCACCTTACTATAGTCGGTGATATGGAAGTGCGGACCCTCCGTGGGTAGAGCCGTGGGGCGGGTGGACAGGGTTTTCATCAGGCGGGTCATGGCTTCGGCTTCTGCTCGGGAAGAAGGACGAAAAATTACGTCTATATAAATACGAAATTAGCTTGGGGAAAATTCTTAACCTTGGTCTACTGTGAACCTAATTGTCCTGCCGTTTATCAGACACACAAATCGACAGCTCGACAAAACGACACGAATTTTGTAACTGGAACTAATTAACTAAACCCTGTTCATGTTGTACAAAGTTCCGTCCATACCTGATCTTCCCGCCTTCTTCAGCCATCTGTGCAGAGACGGCACCGCTTCTGGTCTGAAAGCTGTCTCCGCCTCCTGGAGGGAAAATTACGACATTGTTTTGAATATCTGAGTCATCACATAAAAACATTCAACTAATTCAATTCAATCATTCGAGGTATTAAACGCATCTCCCTTGAATGCTGTGTTTTAGGCATTGGTCAAGCCATTTTTACTACTCCATGGTCAAACAAGTGACTATCTCTACATAAGGACCACCTGTGACCACATTTTGATTATCCCTTACATCAAGGACATTATGTCCTTGCTTACATACATACTTTTCCCCATTGAAACAAGCATTAAGAATCCTGTCTATAGTGACCACCTGTTACGTTACCAAAGTTTTACGGTCCCCTGAGTAGTCTTACTGGGCTAAGGTTTGACTTTATGTGATGAGATGAAAACTTAAGACTGAATCTTACCTTCTCAATGAGTCGTCTGTTTGCCATGTCGTTGATAACTCCTAGAACGGCCCGCTTGTCTGAAAACAACAACACAAGGCAAAGTTCTGAACATGTTTCAACAAAAACTTCGCTATGGCAGTCAAAAAGGAATGGCTCTAAACAATAACTGTATGACTCACAAAGTTTGGCAACTCTATAGCTAATACAATGATAATATTACAACAAGGAAAGTTGGGAGCATGTCGTAACATCACGCACCTTTGTCATTAGCCAGTTTTAGCCACGCCTCCGTCGCCTGGGCTGCGTGAGGGTCCAGTGTGTCTTGCAAAGCCTGAAGATGCAATGAAAACAAATTCAGTACAGTTTAATAAAGGGTTAATGCCCCGCCCTGAGGTGTATATGGTGAGATAACCCCTGGTCAGGTGTGATAACCTCCTCATTAACCACCTCGTTCGCTCCACTCACTTGGTGGTTTATTCGATGGTTATCACACCTGACCAGGACTTATCTCACCATATACACCGAGGATAAGGCGGGGGCATTAACGTTATTATCATATAGCCTTTTCAACTGACACAGTTATTTGACAAAATTTCTTTCTAAAATTCCTCCATTGATATCATTTTCAATCTAGAGTAAATCATAATCATCATATATGGAGTTATGACGTGTATGTAAATGAGTTGGGTTTACCCGTCTCCTGTCGAACTGCATCATGGACGTGGTTGCTGGGCGGGGCTGGTACTTCCGGCGCAGGATGGCCCGCAGTTCCTGCTCCTTCTTAGACCGACTCGCGTCAACTTTAAAAACAAAAACAACGTTGCCACATAAATCATCAAAACATGTACACAATTAATTAAGACATAATATGTTTGTATATATATGAAAGGTATTCAAATGGCGTGGTCATGATTTTTCTGTCAGATATGCATATGGTTTGAAATTATATTATATCTTTAGTGAATAGTTTCATCAGGTTGGTAAGTCACTGAGTAGAGAGACTCTTTTCACACAACCAAGTCTTTTATTCAGCCGACGTTTCGGTAACCGTCTGTCACCTTTTTCAGGGCAATTCTGACTGGTTCACATTGCACTGCAGCACAGGTGTCGCTGCTATCTGATGTTATAAATGTCGGCTGAATAAAAGACCTGTAAAAGGAGCTTTACTCGGTATATCTTAAATGTGTTTCTGCATACTACATGCGACTCATTATACTATCATGGATTGATTTGTCTTATTAGCAGGCATGAGCCTGTAGCCTTACTTTTGTAAGTAGGTTTGTCCACAGCCGCGTCTGGGTCGTGATAGCCCGGCACACTGCGCAGCCTCGTGGTCAAGAAAACTCTGCAGAAATAAGAAAAGTTATTAGTAAAAATGTGTTTTCTAATAATTCTGTCAATATCATATTATAAAATCTGTATCTGTGTCATCTGTATAGCCGGTATAACCGCCCTTCAGTGTAACACACCAGCTTCTGTATCTGTATAGCCGGTATAACCGTCTTTCGGCGTAACACACCAGCTTCTGTATCTGTATAGCCGGTATAACCGCCCTTCGGCGTAACACACCAGCTTCTGTATCTGTATAGCCGGTATAACCACCCTTCGGCGTAACACACCAGCTTCTGTATCTGTATAGCCGGTATAACCCCCTTCGGCGTAACACGCCAGCTAATATTTGTTTGGTGACAAATATACAGTCGTGACTCCGATCCGGCGATGTTGGTGACCTTTTAGCGATCAGCAAATACGGCCAAAGGTTGTCGACTGTGTTTTCTTGTGAGAGAAGAAATTACAGAAGGTCTGGTTATCGTAATTAAGCTACAATACTATCAAAACATGTCCTTAAGAATCAACGTTTTTTTTTTCTTTCACTGCATCCAAGCCAAAATTTCCTTGAATAAAAACTGGAAACGCATCTAAAATAGACCTATTGGTTTGCCTCTAAAGGAAAACACACACTACTGATGAGCATTAATATTTGGTAAATATGCCATAAAATCTCGACATAAAATCTTGTATAAAGACACGACATTCATAGGTTGGCTACGTGCGTTACGTGCTCAGGCCAGCATATTTATGTAACCCCCTGCCCCTAGCCCTGACGCTCTTATTTTTGTAACCTAATACAACCGCACCAAGAACAACACGAATGTTTTAACATAAACTTTCCCACTTGGATGGGGACTGAAGTGCACTTTTCAAGATCTAATTTGTCCATTCACTATCAAATCATGGCTGTCGCCATTTGTAACTAGTCTCTACCAGACTAACTACGCTGCCTATATATAGGAGAATTTGCTAGGGGAGTTTGGCCGCCTTGTAGGTTTGACTGGCCGCGCTTCAGAGGGAAATTCGAAAGGAACTACCTCCCCGCGGCCGGACTCCCTTGGCCAATTTTACTGTCATTTTTGCCGAATTCTACGATCCGTATTCCCGTAGGAAGGCCTGATGGAGGCCAATTTATAACTGCGAACTATATATACGTTACTGTTATTTTAGTGAAGGGCTCCCTTGGTGATGAATGACATTCGTAAAAACAACTACTTTAATACCGGCTGTCTCGTTTTCTGTTGTAGCAACCAATAGAAAATTCAGGACTTTTAAACAGATCATTAGGAACAGGACTTGATCCAGTTGATGTTAAGGATATTGTATTTAGTAATTTTTATGTATTGTGTATTTTTTGTGTGTATTTTTAATATATGTGTATCCAGGATTACGTGAAAAACAAGCCAAAATGGCCTGAGCTGTAATTACTGGTTAAATAAATAAGTTGAAATTGAATTGAAAATTGTCCACTGAGGACGAAATATGCATAGTCTGCGGATATGATACCTGTGGCCTAGTTTTTTCACGAATGTAAATAAACATGTAAACACAGCAGAACAGATACGCTACAAGGTGTATATTGTAAACAAAGACGAAAAGACGGGCGTCGCTAATCTATGTGACTACACAGTACACTGGTAAACATGCCACGCCAAAAACTGGGGGTTTTGGGGGGTCTTTGGGATCTTTTATGTGCTATTTTCTGATTGCATATAGACAACACAGTCAGTCTGGTTGAATTACCCCCGTTTATAGAACTGGGCTAATCAGAATACAGCCGAAGACCACCAAACCACCAGTTCTATAAGCCTGCTGCGGATGCTATGTAAACCTACTCCTGAATACATACAGCTCAGAAAAAGTCAACAAGCCACGCACGATCAAATGCCGCTGTGGCTGTATGAAACATTATTGTATAAACTGTCACACTGTACAGACCAACGCGGGTTCACATTTGGGACAGGCCGGATAGGTAACACATTGTAAAACGGCAACACAACAGAAATATGGGTCAACATGGAAACGGTCTAACTGTCTTTTTCACACCTGCTCGGCCTATGAAACAAACTATGAAACATTATTGTTCAATCTGACACGCTGTGCAGACTGACATATTTAGGACATTCGGATCAGTTACTCTCCAAGCAGAGGTTTAGGTTTTAGCTTAATTTTGGCGTGTTTTTTATCAGGCGATCTTTTTTTTGGGTTGGCATAAAAATACCAGTGCAAAAAAGAAAGCCCTATAAAAAAGCCTGAAAACACGCCAAAATTAAGCCAAAACCCAAACCTCTTTCTCCTCCTCTCTCTCTCTCTCTCTCTCTCTCTCTCTCTCTCTCTTGGAGAGTACAGATCAGTAACACTGTACAGCGACAACACAACACAACAAAAAAATGGGTCAACAGAAGACCGGTCTAGCTGTCTTTATAACACCTGCTGTGCCTCTACTTAAGCGCTAGTTACGTCTATTAGTATTGTCAAGCAACGAAAGAAAGAGTCATAAATATTTAATACCGTCTGGGTGATGCATGCGATTGTGGCGGATCGTAATAATGGGTTTATTGATTGTAATTTGCACGGAGGCGTGTGGCTTTCAAAAGGGTTGACCTGTGGTTACTTATTTACCAGGGCGACCATCTTAAATTCAACTTAACAAGTGGCTTCTGGGTCGATTTTTTTCTCAAAGCTTTTAGTATACTACGAACGTTGAATCATAGGTAGTACATTGTAGTTCAATAATGTTACAGAATTCTGTAAGTTACAGAGAAACAGTTGTCGCAACTGGATTAAGATAATTTGTGGTTTGTTGTTCATATTGTATCCAGCAGAACCGTACATGTCTAGTTTTATGCCTGAATGGGTCAGGGTTAGGATCAGGCACGGTTCTGGATAGTCTCCGCGTATCCAAGAACGTAGATTTGCCCCTGGCCCGGTTCTGGCTACGCATGAACTATCCAGAAAAGTGTCTGGGCATAGTTCTGGATACTTAGTAAAGCACGGTTCGGGATACAATACTAGTAGTTCATTTACTCAGGTGAATGGAGCTTGTTACGCCCCACCGAGTCAATTTAGTTCTGTAACAATTTAGTTCGCGGAGCTGCCATTTAAGACTAAGCTTTTAGTACGTACGCCGTAGCATAGCATCTATAGGTAGTACTTATAAGTGTTTTGAAAGTTAGTAAACTTACTGAAAGCTGAGTAAATAGGATCAAGAGATAATTGGCGGTTTGTTACTCAACTTGGATGGGACTTGTTACGCCTCTTGGTCAATTTTGCTTTCTAAGACTACTAGTATGCTGTACTGGTACGTTGTAGCATAGGTACTTACATGTATGATGTTATACTTCTGTAAGTATTGTTCAAACCTCCTTGCTAATACTGAGAGAAGGCTGAGTCAATAAGATCAAGATGATTGGCCGTGTTGTGCACTTACTCGGGTGAATGGGGCTTGTTCCGCCTCTTGCTCAATTTTGTTCTCTAATTTCTAAAACTAAGTTTTAGTATGCTGTAATGAGACGCTGTGTTAGCATACGTTAAGTTACAATGTTCTGTATAAAGTCACTAGTGCTAAGAGAAACCTGAGCAAATAGGATCAAGATAATCGGCCGTGTTGTGCACTTACTCGGATGGGACTTGTTATAGGTCAATATTTTGTTCTCTAAGTTTTAGTATGCTGTCACGGGACGTTGTAGCATATGTACTTTTGTACTTAGCATACTAGTATGTCTTATGATGTAACAGTTATGTAAGTTACTACTGAGAGAAAGCTGAACAATTAGCGATTTGTTGTTGACTTACTCTGGTGGATGTGGTTTGTTCCGCCTCTGTGGCTCTGGGGGCCGCATGGGGGTGGGCTCGTCCAGGCTCTTGATGTGAAAGTCTGCGGCGTACGACGTCGGAGTCCGGGCGCGGCGCTCGCTGTGGTCCGTCCAGGCAGAGCGAGCCTTCTCCTTCACGTCTTTCAGCACCTGTGGACAAAAACATTATCCTTCAAGTAACGGCAAAAGGAGCAAGAAAAATGGGAAAGAAGAAGAAAACATGGGCTGACAACAGCCAAGAATGGGCAGGAAAAAACCTTGCGGAAACCCTAACCCTAACACACAGTCCAGGTGTGCTAGAGTATAAAGTGCAATTCAAGGAATACAGTGCAATTTTACGGAACACAGTACAATCGTATTAGTATACAGTACAATTTTACGGAATATAGTGCATTATCGTATTAGTATACAGTGCGATTTTACGGAATACAGCGCAATCGTATTAGTATACAGTGCAATTTTACTAGTAAAATGGCACTGTATACTAAAAGTAAAATTGCCACGACCGTGGCCTGGGTTTATATAATAAGAGACCAAGCTACAAAGTACAAGGTATAGTACCTGTGGGTCTATCCTCCGTGTCGCGATCTCCCGCAGTCTCGCCTGGTCTATGCCGTAAGGTGGCGCCGATCTGGACCGATGCTTGGACACTGGTTCGCCCCGACGCCCTGGCAAATAATGTGCCGTCGCCATGCCTTTTTCCCTGTGCCGTAAATTCAAGGAGATCGAGAAATAAAGTTGTGTTCCAGAGCAGTGCCCTCAGAACTAGATACACTCCTAATCGCAAGCGACAACACGCTGTCGTGGATACTTATATGTTATATGTGTGTTGTGGCCTCAGCGAATCCGTCAGGTGGTCGGTATAGCGTGCCGTATCGCCTGGCAACCCGATCAGCTGACTGCGAAAGGGAAGCTCATTCATTATTCATGAACCGTGAAATTTGACCCCGGCCGTGACGTCATCGCGAACCCAACTCTCGCGAGACCGTATCGTGACGTCTGGTCAACGTCAAGTCTCGCGAAATATTGTTGCGCGATTTTGCGAGACATGCGCGTGGTGTGTGTTTTCACGTTCTGCGCACAAGATGGCGGTCTAGGGACGAAAAAAAATGACAGGATATAAAATTTTATTGCTTTTGATGAATTTAACACTATAATTGGCAAGACTAGAGTGTGAATTTGACGGCAGAGAACTGCTGAATCGTTGTGTAACAGAAATAACAGGTAAGGATTATGATAAACCCGGTGTCAAGTAAATTATTGGACTGGTAACGGGTTGGGGGCGGGGCAAGGGGTAATGGGTTGTTTTGGGGGGTTCAAGAAAATGTTTATCAGTTTTTGATTTTTGTGAAATTGGGACTTAAAAGTAAGAACCTAGGAATTCTCCGTTATTAAATGTAGGAGGGGGGTTAGGCTACTTGTATATTAGTACCTATGTACCGCATAGGTATTTTGTCTGTGTCGTCTTGAATCTTCGATGTTTGTGTACTACTAGTAGAGACCTGTTGGAAGTGGAACCTTCTATGGCTATGGCCTCTAGGTGTTTTGCTGTCTACACACGTGAAAAACAAACCCTTTCTTTACCATTGTAAACACTTGGATTTGACCCCCCCCCCTCCTCTCCATGAATTTGAGTGGGGCCCCTGGTTGAACTTGAACTGATGGTATCTTCAATTAATCTTCTTCTCCCATAGTATGGTCTACTAGGTCCTTCAATCCCAGTACCTGATCATGAGTTTTGCCACTCTTCTTCCTACTTCACGATCAGTACATGTAATGTTACGTCCATTTTCCTCAGACCGTGATATTTTGCTCCCGTGAAGGCTACAGTATTCCTCGTCATCATGTGTTCTACAACTTGTAGTACAAGTTTATCCAGAAGGATTGAGTCCATCATCAACGTACAAACTGTCGGGCTCACTGGTCTGTAGTTATCGAGTGTTGTTTTACTCCCAGTCCCCTTCCCACCTCCCCCATCCCCTTATGGATTGGTGCACTATGGTGAAACATGGGCCTGTTTCCATCCCTCTGGGTTTTTCTTAAGATTTTCTAAACAGAAGTCATGGTCAAGGGTGTGAACGAATGGTGGGTTCTTTCAGGAGTCTTTATTTCTTTTTCAGGAGTTCAGGAGTCCCGGGTGAGTGTTGTTTGGGCTAGAATACTGAGAATTTGGGTTTAACAGTCTGTCACCAATTCTCCTTAGAGATCACTATATCCTCTAATGAGAGTAATGTGGATGTAACTGGTACACTACTAATGTTGGGGAAGGTTGTCATATGCTCTGTTGTAACAATACAAGCAAAAAAGTCTCATCTGTGTTAGTTAGGCCTAGAAAAAAAAGTTTTGTTTTGCATGGTGAATCCAAGCTGGTACATATTTTTTTTAGAGCTGATCAACCTGTTATATCTCCATGATCTGACACCTGAGTGATAAAACATTGTACAATCAGTTTTCCAACATTGACATTGAAAATATAAGTGTCCTTATGCAAGTTTTACTTAAACTGTATTGTATGAGTTGGATCACTAGCCAAAGTAAAACAAAAAAGAAAAAAAAAAAAAAAAAAAGATAATCCCTTATTAACTTACCGACCCTAATTTTTTCAGGGCTGCAATAGGAAACATAACATGTTTCCCTAGGCCTAGTCTAAGTCATTATGAGGCATTTGTTTAAAATAAAAAAATTATTGTTTTGGAAATTACAGTTCAAGAAGAAAAAGAAGAAGACGTGAGTCCGACCATGACTGCGATTCGCCACACGCTGCAGAAGGACGTGTTCCTGCCTAACGACGAGCGGTTGCTAGGCGTGGTCCACGTATCCAAGGCGGGGAAGAAGAAGAAAGCCAGCTTCTTGTGTGCAGCAGGTAAGTCTCATTGTAGCATGTCAGCAGAACGTACAGCACCTGCACAAAATCTGTAATGTGTTATGCATAGCACTTGGAACAGAACGTCTTGTTTAAGGTCATATTCTCATATTTGAGGATGACAGTTTTAAATGTCATGTTGGAAAAGATATCTGCCACAGGCAAAATTCTGATGCAAGATTACACAAACATCCAACAGAAACAGTGACAGATCTGGATTTTGTGCAGGTGCAGTATGTCTTTTGCTGACGTGTTCTTCATTGTTATCAACTGTGGCATTTCTATAAAATGTATTATGTCGGTGAAGGTTAGACATCCAGGTAATAAGATCTAGGTACGCAAAAAAAAACAAAAAACAGTTACTCAAGCAACTGAAAAACTGGATTCCAAAATCATATCAAGTTGCTTGAGTACGAGTAACTACAAACTTGTTTTGGCGTATAATGTTACAGTATTATATGTATAACTTGTGAGTTGCATGTGACTGTTCTACCTTTTTCAATGCATCATGACCAGCCACCACAGAGAAGCCCGTGCAGGTGTCCATTGTGAATGTGAAGAAGTCCAACAAGGGAGACACGTACAAGCGCAGACAGACATGGCAGCTTAGCTAGCATGTGGCTACATGTATTACAAAGGGCTTGCCATGGCATTCTATATAATGTATTATGTGTAATTGTGTATGTATAAGTTGTGAGTTGTGACTGTTCTACCTTTTTCAATGCCTCAGCTACTCACTATCCAGTTTAGCTTCAGTGTTCTCTGTCATTCCACACTGATATGCTGAGGCTTGATGGCAGCCTGCCATTTGCTTCTATCCTGTGGGTTGACACTATGCAGGAAAATAAGGTGGAGTTGTAAGTTGTGAGTTTTGTGACTGTTCTGCTTTGTCTTTAATTTGTCTCACAGCCACCACAGAGAAGCCAGTGCAGGTGTCCATTGTGAACGTGAAGAAGTCAGACAAGGGAGACACGTACAAGCGCAGACAGACATGGCAGCTCAGGGAACTCAAACTGGTGGACGGGAAGGACGACACTAAGGTCAGGAGTAGCCTCCATAGCATGCCAAAAACTGTGGGTTTTTTGGGGGTCTTCAGGGTCTTTGGGAGCTTTTATGTGGTATTTTCTGATTGCACATAGACAACATATCTGGCCTGGTTGAATTACCCCCGTTTTTCGAACTGGGCTAATCAGAAAACAGCCGAAGACCACCAAACCCCCAGTTTTATAAGCCTGCTACAGAGGCTAGGTCAGGAAGCTAAAATGCATTTTATTAGCAATGATACTTGGTCATATAGTTTGAGCTTGTTCCAACACAAAGAAGTAACTCACCATAAAATTTCGGCTGATCCCATCAACCTTCATCAGATGCTTGGCTGACCCAAAAACTTCTAGTTGTTAGTTTTAAGACTGCTCCATTGGAATGTCTCAGGTTACCTCACTAATGCACTGAAATTGGTTTATAATTAGTTGCTAGGTTACAAGAATTACATTAAACTTAGTTGCTACGCTGCTCCAGTGGATTTCTAAGCATCCATTTATGCCCTTATAATTATCCTACAGGTGGAATTCAATGTAGGTTGAATAGGCTCAACTCATTTATGCAAATCCTTAAATTAGATTAAATTAGAGTGGATTCATTACCAAGCTAACATCTTTCATGTATACTACAATCATACTGCAGCTGTCTCTCAGTAAGACATCTGGAGTAACATACTCTGTAATTCATGTTTTTTTTACGGTACTGTTATGTTCACTGTTTTCACTGTCACTTCTGTACCATGAACTTATCATTACAGTTAGCAAATAATTTCTGGACTTTATTTTCCTGCACCTGTCGCCACCGTGAACATATAGTTCCGTGAACATGTCCATTTTTCTCAGACCGTGACATTTTGCTACCGTGAAGTAAATTACAGTAGTTTCCGTTTCTTAAACCATAATTACAACTCATGTACAACTGTCTTGTATTGTCAATCTGTAGGAGTCCCCTGAATTTGACCTCCACTTTGAGAAGAGTTACAAGTGGGTTGCGAGTAACGTGGGAGAGAAAAGCGCCTTCATGTCATGTCTGTGGAAGGTGAGGAACCATCATTCATGCCTTACATGTTAATAATAACAAGTACAACAGAAAAGTGCTTTTATGTCATGTCTGTGGAAGGTGTGAGTAACCATAGTTTATGCCTCAAATATGAATGTTCAGTAACTTAAAGTGCAATAAAAGTAAAAGGTGTTGTATGTACAAATTGGGTGGAATTCAATGTGAGACAGAAGACTACTAGTAGTGAAAAGTGACAGGATGAGTTGGTGAGGCACACATACATGTACATATACATGTATCATAGATGTTTTTGAGTTTACTAAGAATAATAAACAGAGCAGTAGTTTGTAATTAGGCTAGACCATGTGAAGGTAAAATGTATCTGCTCTCCAAATGTTACCTTTCTAGTTGATAGTTGTTATGTTTCTCCTAGCTGACTCATTTTATTGTTCACCAGTTATGCCAGCGTTACCTGATAAAGAAGAGACCAGATTTCGTCAATGTGAACCCACAACTACTGGAAGGTAGGTTACTTGGAAACTTCCCAGACATTACAACAAAATTACAGTAAGACATAGGCTGTTCACAGTCTTTCACTAACCATATACAAGTCACTCCCTTCATCTTCAAGTAGTTTGGTCCAGTTTCTTGGGCTCCTTTCATGGAAGTTTTTGCAGGATTTCGATCGTGAAATGGTTTCAACTTTGCTAGCAAAATAATAGTTTGCAGAGTTGCAAATAATATACTCTCTTTGAGATCACCACATTACACTAGTACAATATTCCAGAACTCTCAGCATGCACTAACAAGGGAAACTAGAGTATACAATAGTATGCTAATCCAAAATTTAAAACATTTGACTAAGTAGAAAAGGAACACCTGTACATAGATATCTCCAGAACTCACGGCATGCACTATAAGGGAAACTACAGCATAATTTGAGACTTTTTACTCTTTAAATTTAAAAGAAACACCTGCATGTCATGAGCACACCTGTGCGTATCTATCTCACCTGGAGTCCTGTGTTTTTTCTGCTACCTTTGGTGCCGCACACACCTGTTGTTAGGGTACAGTAAGTACCGTCTTCTCACCTTTTTCTAAAAATCTTCTTCAATACTTTCATTCTATCTTTAACCTAAACAGGGTTTGTTTAATAACATTTTGGATTATCAAAAGTAAAATATAGATTTTGATGTTCTCTTTACTAGGTAAATATATATATTTTGATATTTAAAAATGTTTTAAAGTAACTTTTAGTGAAGTTCAGAAAAAGTCTTATTAGGAAGTTTGGTTAATAGGCATTGCACCCAATTCACAGGGTTTGTTTAATAATATTTTGGATTTTCAAAAGTAAAATATGGATTTTGATATTCTCTTTACGTAGGTAAATATATATTTTGATATTTAAAAATGTTTTAAAGTAACTGTTTTAATAAAGTCCTGAAAAGGCTTATAGGAAGTTTGGTCAACTGGTAAAATACATATTGTACAAATGGAGGTCTGGACATCAAATAAAATGCAGAATGTAGATCAAATAAAATGCAGTTATACTATTGAGAGAAAGGGGGTGCCCCTGACACCATGAATGCAGCATCAGATATTCAGCTGTTCAATACATTGTTGAAAAGGCCTTGATTACATGTACACTATTCTTAGTGCATTTTTCTTATGAGAGTTGACATTAGGTACATACAGTCCAGAGATTTATAAACAGTCAATCTGAATTACCCTAGTAAATTGTCGTGGTCTGGAAGAAAGTTTGATACCTTGTTCTTGTTTTTGTTTCTTCTTAATGATACCAAGTTGCAGATGATGAGAGTGAAATGTTACTCCCAAGTGAAGGTACATACCGCCTGGTACACTGTAGATGTCAGGACTTTTTAATCAGTAACCCCCTCCGAATCAGGCATGGGATAGACCAGAACACAGTTAACATTAACCATATTATGCGTTGAAGAATGTGATCTGTAGAGAGTCTGGTGTAGTATAGACCGACTACTAATTGTTGTATCTGATTCAGTTACTAGTATCAGGTAAGGCAGTGTTTGTCAATGTTAGGACATGATATTTTGAAATTGTAGTAAGTCATTATATCTAGGAAGATGTACTGACCAGGGTTGGACTGTTTGGTTCATTTACTTGCATCTCAGATTTTACACCTTTAAGCAGTTTATTAACATTAAACTAATTGTTAGCTTAAGTGTCAATTATGGATTATGGTATACAATGTAGCTAGAGTCTGATGTACATGTATGTAATATTGCCAATATCTGTATTCATGGAATTTTTGGTTTATTTTTGCATTATTCAGAGACAAACTTCTCCGCCGCCAATTCATGACACCACAAAAATTAAATTCATAATTTATGACTTACCTACATCTGTACCACTGAATTGTTTCTACCACAAATGCAAAACATGCAAAAATACCCCTTTCCATCCTACTTTAAAATGAAACAAGTTGCAGAGAAGTAAATAAAATTGCAGTATAGCCTGTGTAAAAGAACATACTGCACGTGTCCTAAGTCCAGAATTTGATGTCCATGGTACTTCTACAGAATGTAATTGTTTAAAGTCGTGTTAACAATGTATTAATGTTAAGACATTTTTATGACATACATGTACAGAAGCCGTGCAGGTGGGGGAGCTGACACGGACGATGCCTCAGGGTGCAGAGGATGTGGTGGATGAAGAGTACCAAGTCCTGACGGCCCAGGAGGAGTCAGACCTAGAGAAGCTGATCTCCCAGTGTGACTTCGCCGTGTCCAATGCTGAGGCCTTCACAGAACAGCTGTCTAAAGACCTGTCCATGCTGGATGGGGTGGGTTTTATATGCTACAGGCCACACTAATTTGATCAAGCGGATCTTGGATTCGCCCACTTCATTTCTTTCTTAGCCTGTGCAACCCATGCTCTTGTCCGGCTCCCTAGATAGTCCGCCACCCAAGAGGCCCGCTTCATTTCTTTCTTCTGAAACGCTTCATCAGGTGATAGGATACAAGGGTTTTATTTTTTACACAACCAAACTATTTACCTTGCTTACGTTTCGATGTCTGTCAGACACCTTCAGAGAGCTTCTGACTGGAGTTCTGCTTCTTGCCGATATATGTAGCCAATGTAGGTGGCGCTTTTGCGGCGAGAATGACATCCCAAATCCCATGTCTTGTATCCTTCATTTCTTTCTGATTTGAAAAAAAAAAAAACCTTCAGGTTCTGAATCAACACCAAAATGCTCATGCAAATGCTCTCTGGCCAACAGTCGAAAAAAGTCCCTGCCTTCCTAGTTTTTCCATTGATCAATTCAGTTGTAGTTTGATTAAACTTCAGAATTCGTTGTTTGAATTTTAAACCAGTGTACTGTGTGAATCATGTAGTTACATGTATGTTGCACAGTTCTAGAATGGGTCACGCCCTTAAACTGTAATGCACTGTTCATTATACGTTTTTGTCACAATCAGTGGAAGATTAGCTTTCCTTGTTTGATATGTTTGTCTGTTTCTCTAACCTCCAGGCAAACATCCACTCCATCATGGCATCAGAGGAGCAGGTAAAAACCCTGATGAAACTGTTGGAGGTGAGCGAGACGGAAATCAACAGGATCGAGAAACGGCTGGAGAGATACGAGGGACTTCTGGAGGTGAGGGATGGGTGTGTATTTGTGTGTGTGTCTGTGTTTGTGTGTGTGTGTGTGTGTATGTGTGTGTGCATGCGCGCGCATGTGTCTGTGTGTTCGTAGACCAGTCGTTAGTGACCCTGCCTTTGGACTATTAAAGAGGTTGCGAGTTCGAATCCAGGCTGTTGTTGCTCACCCGACATGCATGTTACTGGAAAAGGATGGAACGTTAAACTATGATCCACTGTTCTTCTAGAAAAGAGCTAGGGGAATTTCCCGATCAGTACAATGAACCTGTAAAATACTATCTGTAACTTTCACACACACTGCCCCTGACACGGGTAGGCAGCAGTTGGCTAGTTTTCTCTAGTATCAGTTGAAGAGTAGCTCTTAGGCCAGTTAAAACAGGTTTGAGATCACTTTCCTCTCCATATATCACAATGTATCTCGCTGGCTTCCAGTGTTTCTTGGTCCTGGTAATGACATAATTTTCTCCTGTGTTTTTAGGGTGTTCGAGAACAGATGGAACAGATGAAGGGAAAAGACACCCTGATCCAGATGCAGAACACAAACTACAAGAAACTACTCAGTACCCTGGACACACTAGTGGTAAACAAATGTATTCTACATTGTATAGATGTGTCCCAGACCCATTTCAACTTAATGCACCAATGTGCTGCAGTTACCTGTAATAGCACTTCAGAAGGCCTAACTCAAAACTTACAGCCAACACCCATAGTACACAACTGTTTACTGAAAATAAATTGATTTGACTACCAAGTAAGTAAGTACCAAATGGGCTCTTAATATTTGTTGGGATTGTCATTTTACATTTTGCATTTGGTTGAGTTACAAATGTAGGTGTTTGACCCTGTTCATACCAGACTTATATTTAGCGGTTTCAACCGGTTTTTCAAAAACCGGTTTTTATTTAACCTGGTGTGAACGCAAATTAACCGGTTTTTTAGGGGTTTAAATCCGATTTTCAAAAACCACCTCGGGAGGTGGTTTTTGAGGGGTTTTTGAGGGGTTTTTCCACCGAAAAACCTGGTCTGAACGCTAAGGGTTTATTGAACCGGTTTTTGCGTCATAATTCTGGGGTCACGGGGTCAGCATCCTGGCCGTGTGCGACCTCCAAGCTTTTTTGATCGCGCTGTTTAGACCGTTTCCACTGTTTCTCCACGGTTTCTCTTCATTTTTACGATGGAATCAGCCAACGCAACCTGGTCGGTGGACGAGACGCTCCCGATACGTATTGTTGATCGCCGAATTCGAAAAAGCTGGGCGGAGGGCTCTATTGAGGTCTCTACCGAAACAAAAATGTTGGAGGAGCCTGGTAATGGCCGATTAACCGGATATTCGCTGGACAGGGTTTTTGAAAAACCGGTTTTGTAAGTCTGGTGTGAACGCGACGGGTTTTTGCCGGGTTAATTATTTAGCGGTTTCAACCGGTTTATATAAGTCTGGTATGAACAGGGTCTTATAGGTGTTTCAGTGCTTAGATATTGCTGCTACTGCTACAGTCTTTGAATTCAGGTACATGTATATTGATATACGTGACATATAATTTGACAAGTATACAAGAAAACAACTGCTAAAGGTAGGAAAAAGTGTTGGATGCTACTTGAAACATTTGACCGTTTTCAAAACGTATCCTGTTTTGTTATATATCTCATTACCTTGATGTCTAACCGTCATTGACGAATCATGACAGGTCGTAAATATAAAATATATAAACTTTTGATTTGATATATTTCAGGGTCAGTTAGACTTGAGCCCAGGCCATGTGAAGGCCCTTCATGAGGGAGACCTGAGTAACCCCAGCCACATTCTGGACTGTACGTCTGCAGCAGAGGCCTTACAACAGGCTATGGGGGTACAACTGCACCCAGGTACATGTACATGTACATGTGGCTTAGCCTTTAACTGTTGCATTACAAAACATGGTTTGGCATACTATGTGCAGATGCATTCCAAAACATGAGTTTTGTGATCAGTGGTTCTATTCTTGGTTTTCTGAGGGTGCACCTGTGCACCCAAATATTTTAGTAAGTATATAACATAGATGTTAAATGTATACTACATGTAGTTACACAGCATATTTTTAACATCCAAGTGACAGAAAAATAATTAAATCATTGTTGTAGTACTTTTCTTTAGAAATGAAACATAATATTAATAAGTTATTGCTGACATTCTAGTTAACCCTTTCTAGTTAGTTTTATATGGTGCACCCAAAAAATTTTTTGTGCACCCAGTTTTTTTAAGTTGGGTGCACCCAAAAATGAATTTTGAGCCCAGATTTGTAAGCTCTTATTGTTTTCACATGTTAAATGTTGCCATTTTTTAAATCCAGGCCTGTGTAAGATGCAGGCTGTGAGGGAACAACAGAAGATGTTTGAGAAGCTGAGGTCCAGTTTTGCCCGTCGGCTGGCCACTCATCTCAACAGTGTGTTTGTGCAACAGGTAATGCCAAGGGACATTCTGTATCTATATAGTACATAATAGTGTATAACTGCCTTTTAGCATAACACTATAGCTTCAGAGGCATGTGTGTAACAAGCCATAATGCTGAACAACCTTTCTACATGTAAATGTAACTTAGTGTTGTTTAAACCCATCAAGTGATGATGGATATTATGGTACATGGTAGCAGTCAGTTCCACCCAAGACGAGTTGTTCTAGGAAAAACCAAGTTTTTTTAAAAAAACACATCAATCCTTGGTTGATTACTCTTGTATTTGAAGGCATGACTGGTCCTTGACGTGTTATTTTCTGAACTGGTTTTACACAGTACTTAGTAGTTGGTATGTGCACCAGTGCATTGTTTAGGCTACATGTGATTAACTATATGAATGTTTGTGCACCTTTTCAGGGCCATGACATGGGAGAAACCCTGAGTCACCACACCTTGTAGCCCACCCTTCCCAAACACTACTCAGCACACAGAGATCTCATGCCTTATGCAGACCTCATGCTAATGTACATGTATGTGTACTGTGTGTTTCCAGGGCCATGATATGGGAGAAACCCTGAGTCACCACACCCTGGAGCCCACCCTACCGAAGCACTACTCAGCACACAGAGACCTCATGCCTTATGTACATGTGTGTCTGTGTGTGTTCCCATGCTAATGTACAATGTATACTCTATGTTTACAGGGCCATGATATGGGAGAAACCCTGAGTCACCACACTCTGGAGCCAACCTTACCCAAACACTACTCAGCACACAGAGACCTCATGCCTTATGTACATGTGTGTGTGTGTGTGTGTGTGTGTGTTCCCATGCTAATGTACATGTACATGTGTGTGTACTGTGTGTTTCCAGGGACATGATATGGGAGAGACCTTGAGTCACCACACTCTGGAGCCCACCTTACCGAAGCACTACTCTGCACACAGAGACCTCATGCCTTATGCTGACCTCATGCTGTGGCTCAAGGGAGCAGACATCACCAGTTTTCACCAACTAGCACAGGTCTGTACAAAAAAGCGTAGATAACACATATTATTATAAGCAGAACATACTGCGCCTTTACAAAACCTGTAATGTATTTGTACCTTGATATGTGGCTGAAGTTGGCAGTTTCCATCAACTAGCACAGATTTGTAAATAATTGACAAGCAGTACTGCACCTGCTTGAAATCTGGATTTTTTGTGACACTTTTTCTTGGATGCTTGGTAAACATTGAATCAGAATTTTGCAGCCAATATCTTTTCTTCCCAGACATTTGAAAACCCTAAACAAGATGTCATCCTTAAATATGAGAATATGATCTTTAACAAGACATTCTGCCAATGTGCTATGTACAATACATTACAGATTTTGCACAGGTGCAGTTACTGCAGTACTTTCTGCCACTGTACTGCAAAAGTATACTGACACTGTATATGTGCATATGGTGTACGTGTAATGTACACGGTCTGACATGAAATATTAGAACATATCTGTGAAAGTCTTATTCTATTAGTATTAGTGAAACCCACATTTCTTATAAGACTTAGTACATGCAAAATGTAGTACATAATGTACAATGTATTGATTGCTAATCCTTGAATTTTGTGCCCATGGTTAGGTGTATACGTCGAATCTGAAACGTCTGTACGACCGAGAAATCAAGGAATTCTTTGAAGCAGCCAAGTCCATTCTGGGCTCCAAACCCAGCGCAGTGGACAGCAAGAAATTTGGTAGGTCCAGGTGTAGTATATCAAGAAAAACAGTTAGTTAAAAGCAACTGGATAGACTTTGAAAACTGCCAGATGTACAAATGTCATGTATGCACAGTTCGTACTGTGAACTGGCTTGTTCTTTGATTGAATTCTTCTTTTTGTGAAGTTTTGTGTAGTTTCTGTATTGTTTCAAGACCGCACAAAGTTCTGGCTTGATACATGCGACACATTCTTTCATTGTATAATTATTAATATCTGTCCAGATTATGCTTCACTATTTGAGGACTGTCACATTGCTTTGTATATTTTTACTTTTGGAAAAAGTTGATTTACATTTGTTTTTGTGTGTGTAAGGGCATGCCTGTAAAGTTGTGTATGCACCTGTTTTGTCCTCCTTTCCACATATATTATGATAAAATAACTAAAAGCAAACTACTTTGCCTGTGACCAGGTAAGCTGATGGGGTCGACAGAGAGCCTTGGGAAGAGTTCTGGGTCCAAGCTTCTCTCCTTGTCCCTGCTGATTGAACTGGACTTCAATTGTTATACCAAGAAGCTTTCCTATGTGACAACAATTGTACATAGCAAAGTCTTGTACTGTTAAGTACCAATTTGCTTTATGATACTTTAAGTTAACAATTGTTTTCTGTTCATACCTCATATGACCAGGTAAGCTGATGGGGTCCACGGAGAGCTTGGGGAAGAGTTCTGGGTCCAAACTTCGATCGTCCTCTCTACTGGACATTGCTGACCACAAGGGGTCCAATCCTGATATTACTGACAGGGCCAAGTTTGAACGGGTAAGGGCTATACATGTGTACATACCCTTGTTAAGCCATACGGTAAGAACAGAAATATGTAAAACTAAAAAATGATTACATCAACTAACTACAATGACAATGTAATTGAAAAACTCAAGAAGAGAGAAGAAGCATTATTATGCTCTAAGAGTCTTATAGCTACAAATGTAAACAAGAATTCCGAGATTTCATACCTCCATGAAATATGGGCTTGATATGTAAATGTAAATTTCCTCTTTAATTATGCAAATTATCTCCGCATTAACATGATATATGCATCGTGATGTATGTTAACTTTTGATTAACTTACAGATGTCCCAAGTATGACGTTCGCATTATTCACCATTAAGAAATCATAGAATTTTGCATAAAATTATGCAAATTAGGTCATCATTTGCATAATTAGTATCTGTTGATGTTCTGGCTGCCATAGGCTACATACCTTACATGTATGAAAGTAGTATAATGTAAAACACTGTAATTATAGAATTTCCTCATTAATTATGCAAATAAAGTCCTCATTTGCATAATTTGCATTTAATCATGTACATCTCTCTCTCAGCTACCTACACACCAAAAATTATGAAAATATGCTGTTCCTATCTGGACTTATTCGCTTTTAAACATTTCGCCAGAAAGTGCCCTGCAGTTCCAGAACAAGCTGCTAGGGGGACCAAACTCACACTTACTTATTCCTGACAGGAAAAGCAATCTGTCACCAAAACATCAAGACCACAGCATGTTCAGGACAAAAGATACAAAAACCGGAAGTTCTGCTGCAGTACCAAGGTCATCCACCAGGAGGCCCATATTTGACCTTGACGTTTGTCTTCCTAAGACTTACCAACATACAAAATATCATCATAATCCATAAAGGCGTTCTGAAGTTATGCTGACCACAAAGTTGCGGAAACACACACAGACATACATACATACATACAGACAGACGCCGCCGAAAACAATACCTCCATTTTTCATGGAGGTAATGACTAAACTTAGCCCCAAAGGGGCACATTTTGCTTTGAAGTGTGTTTTCTAGGGTAGGTATGACATAACTAAAATAACATAACTACAACAGGCTATAAGGTTGGTACCTCTAATGGTGCAGAATACACAATCATGTTGTATTCTAGAAATTCTAAAAAAGTCTTATTGTTTTTCAGGTGTTGAACAGCATAATGAGTGAGTTAGAACCTGTGTGCATGGTGGAACAGGACTTCATCATAAAGTTCTTCCACCTCTCCACGGACTCTACAGCCACTGATCTCGGCTCCGTGAGTATTAGTCTATCTTTAAACGATATCAAAAGTGATGATTAAACAAACTGTGTATGTACACACAGTCATGTAATTCTGTTCCAAGTCTTTTCTAAGTTTTTTGTGATGTTTTACTTCCAAATATTTTATCTGCATTTACTTTGCACTTTGCTCTTTAACTAAACATTTCGTTTTGTGTGTTTGTTTTGTGTTTTGTTGTGTTCTTGATGGTGAATATTAAGAAAACCCTAAAATTGAAGGCAAGTAACAACAGTACTTACTAATACACATGGACCAAACTTTTTTCTTCTTTCAATCATTGTTCCATATTTTCTTTTTCTTCTCTTTTTATTTTATGTCATTTTCATTTTGTTCCCTTCAACTTTGTTCCTTTTTCTTCATCTATATTACATGTAGTACTAGTAGAAGCTAAGTGCTGTTCATTCCTACAAATTAACTTAGTTTCTTGTATTTGTATTTGTTTTAGGATGAGGAAGATCAGCCAGAAGAGGGAGTTGTAGATGCTGACGGTGCCATGTTCAGTAAAGGTCATACTGAGAGACAAGCAGAGTATGTATATAACACAACTGATCTCTACGTAATACTTCTATCATCCAAGTAAGCTTACATGTACATGTAAAAGAGATACATGTAATTGTACATACATGTAGTAGACATTTCTTGTTGTAAAAGGACTTCAGTAGTGTCCAATTTTATCATATTATTAAGTGCTTATATTTAACTAAAAAGTTACTCCTTTTTTTCATTTCAGGAAGCAAGTCAGCAGTGAAGTTAGGTCAGTATGTGTACATGTTATAAAGCAAAATAACCCAAGTATGCATGAACCTGGATAAATGCAAGCAGCTATCCTGATGATATTCAGATTGGAATGTGAAGTAAAGCAGCTAGCAACATCAACATTTATAATATTAAATCCTTACATGCTTTGAGAGTTTGAATGTCTAATAGTTGTGTTTAATTTATATTCATGTGTAATATTACCTGAGAGTGAAGGCTTTTGAAATACCTGTTGTTGAAAAAATACATGATTGTGTGTAAGTATGACTTTTTTTAGGGATTCACTAATTCTAAACATCCTTTTTTGTTTTATAGGAGGATGATGTCTGACTTGTTTGGGATGTTGGAACCAGAGCTGCACAACTTCATCAACCATGCTGACAAGATGGACCCCTAGTGAGTCAGATCGGTACTGCATGTGGTACCCCATTCATTGAGCCTTTGAAAATGACAAATTCAGTTCAGTTATTAAACAGATCACTGAATGAAATTGAACTAGGAAGGTAACATTTGCAAAGCAAATGCATAATGTTAACCTTCGCATATGGTCTGCTCTGTTAATTCTTACTCAAACACATTTATATGGTCAGACAGGAGTCTAAATCCCTCCTGCCATAAAATTGCAACATGATGTACATTGTAACCCACCACTAGTTACCATGGTGATAGACGATCTGGTTCGGGTCATTGACTTTTGGGAAGAAGAAACAGAGCAAAAACCGTTATATTTTCCTTCAGTAAATATGATGACATTTTTGTTGGAAATTATTTGATTGGCGCACATAGCATCCATCTGAAAGAGTTAACGGGAGGAATGATCTTGTGTTTGCACAGTAATTCTATGTACATGCTGGTGAAAATCAGTGCTGTAGTGATGGGGATGGTTAAAGGGAGGAATGATCTTGTGTTTGCACAGTAACTCCATGTACATGCTGGTAAAGATCAGTGCTGTAGTAATGGGGATGGTTAAAGGGAGGAATGATCTTGTGTTTGCACAGTAACTCCATGTACATGCTGGTGAAGATCAGTGCTGTAGTGATGGGGATGGAGGAGAAAGATGCAGGGTCATACCTGGCAACAACTCTGGCCACATCAGTCGTCATTGTCAAGAGAAACTTCGACAAACTAATTGTAAGTTTTGTTCACTTCCATCCAAATTCTTGTCAATATGATTCATAATTTCTTTGCCAGTTGAATTTGCTGTATGTTTATTGGTTGCTTTATACATGTAGGTCTCGAAAAGTTACCAATTATAGTGTGAGAAGTGTTCATACAGTAGCAACAAGAGAAGTTAGAGAGAGAGAGAATTTTATGATTCTAAATTAACATTTTCTTATCAAAATTTGTCCACAGCAAGCCAAGATTCAGAGCATCGAAGACATCAAGGTGCCGAAGAACAAGCGATGTGGCATCCTGCCGTTTGTGGCCAGTTTTGAGGTAAGAGAACATTTTGTCACATTCTTGTAGCACATTACATACACTGCTGCAAGACTTAGTATTTTTGTTTCACAGATGGAGAAAAAAACATTGTTTTTGCTCTCTTTCTTCTTCTGGGATCATAAAAGGTCCATGACTTGGACCAGACGTCTGTCACCATGGCAACTGGTGCTGTAGCAGACACCCTGTGGTGTTGGATCCCATTATGTAGCAAGGGGTAGGACAGAGTTGGAGGGGCTGGTTACTTTTACATAGTAGTACATAACAGTCAGTAATTTGAATTTGGACAAGGTAAACATTTTGCATTTGCTTTACAAATGTTACCTTTCTAGTTAGAAATAATTTCAGGAAAACTAGCTGAATTGAAGCCACTATTTATGCATGTTTTTTCCCCCAGGAATTTGCAGAGCTAGCAGAGACGGTGTTCAAAGGCTCAGAGCGGAGAGCCGACCTGGACAAGGCTTACGGCAGGATGGTGAGAACCATCTTCGACAACGTGGAGCGGGTCGGACTGGAACATCAGAAGACGCCTCAAGATGTCGTCCTGTTTGGTAAGAAAAGTTCACATTCCTCATGAAACTCGATAATCCTTGTACTACTGTATATCACTGAGTGGAGAGCCGACCTGGACAAGGCTTGTGAGGACCATCTTCGATAATGTGGAAAGGGTCGGGATGGAACATCAGAAGACTCCTCAAGATGTTGTCCTGTTCGGTAAGGAGGAGTATTTTTTGGATAGAAGCGATGATGATGATGTTCAGTGTTGTTGCAAAATCCTGGTATTTACATGTACCTGCACATCGGCAGAACATTATGGCACCTATGCAAAACATGAAGTTTTTACGGTTTTTGACATTCTATTTTTTCTTGTGTTTCAGAAAACTTCCATCATTTGAATGGTAAGTCTTTCTACATTGCATATAATACAGTATTAAGATTCAGATACAGCAGTTAGATATATTATACATGTTTAACTTGTATTTAAGGGAAACTGTTTGAAATTCACAGTCTACAAGTCATTTTGATCGATCAGGATGGCTGGTTTTGCTAGAAAGTGTTTTACAATTACCTGGTGTCTGCTATTGTATAATTATTATTCACTTGTTTAAGACTATACTATTTTATCACTACTTTACTTAAAACTTTTATTTCACCCTGTTGCAGCCGTTTTTGCAAGACTGAAGATCACATGTCTAGAGACAGAGAAGAAGGAAGCGCGACACAAGTACAAGCAGCACCTCAACGCTTACGTTATAAACTGGCTCGGACACCCCATGGAGAAACTTAATGTAGGTTCCTACAACACATCTTCTTCTTCTTTCAATTTGCAGCCGCCTTCAACTAGCTGAAGATTCTGCTGCCTTTGTGGCTAGTACAAGATGGGGTTCGCCAGGCCTCCATCCTGGTTATTTGTAGTGAATCACCAACACCCAGACAGTGATTGTTTGTACCATGGCACATAACAGAATGTATATCACTAGAAAGCTTTAAACATCTCCTGCAAATTAAATGTGCAAAGATTAAATGTAACAAGTCATTTGGTGTGATCTAGCTTCCACTGCGCCCCGTGCCTGGGAAGCTGGTGTGTTACGCCGAATGGTGATTATACCAGCTATACTGATACCGATACAGATACTACACCTGCACAAGACCCGGAATTTTCACAGCCTTTGTTGCATCAGAATTTTGCCTGTTGCATAGGAAAAAAGTAAAGGTACTGAAATATCACAGACAGCTGTCATTGGCACAAAAACTAGCGGATGCTACTTGGAACATCAGCTGCAGTTTAAAAATCCAGTTGCTGGAGTAACTGACGTTCTTGAAGTGTATTTCATTACCTGGATGTCTGACCTTATTCGACCCATATGATAGATGGCCCATGCCATATAAGGAGACAGTACAATATATGACACAATACTGAATAAGGCAATGTTGAAAGAAAATTTTGTTGAACCTGACAGAATGTAATCATAACAGGTGCATGTTTACTCCATAATGAAACCAGGGAGAGGCTTGGCCTTGATCCGAAGGCAGATAATTTGTTTTTTGCTTCATGGCTGACAAGTTTGATTTCATGGAAGACATCCTCTGGTTAGCCCAAAATCTCACGGGGCATGGAAAAATGGAGAAAGTCAAGTACTAGTTCGTGTGGCTCGTTTTGTCATGAATGCTTCATGCTTTGCACATTTTTCAAGCCGTTTGTTTGTGAAATATTACCCTCATTTTGCCATATTTTAATTCACAATTGTTCTACCTAGGCTTGGAAAAATGGTTAAAGTCATGTACTTGTACGTGTGGCTCGTTTTGTCATGAATGCTTTGCGCTTTGCACATTTTTCAAACCTTTCGTTTGTGAAATATTACCCTCATTTTGCCATATTTTAATTCATGCAGAGATCACAATTGTCATCCCCAAATCTGCTTATTCATGGAAAAATGGAGAGAGTCATGTACTAGTACATGTAGCTCCTTTTTTGTCATCAATGCTCCGTGCTTCGCACATTATTCAAACTTTTCATTTGCGAAATATTACCCTCATTTTAATTCACAATTGTTATCCCCAAATCTACCTAGGCATAGAAAAATGGTCAAAGTCATGTACTTGTACATTTGTACATGTAGCTCGCTTTGTCATGAATGCTTCGTGCACTGCACATTTTTCAACTTTTCATTTGTGAAATATTGTCCTCATTTTGCCATGTTTTAACTCCTACACAACTGTGTAATGTGTATAATAACTGAAATTTTGTGGAGTTGTGGCATCTTGTTCAATTCAATCCCATCACTTGTACATTGATGAAGGTTAGACATCCAGGTAAATACATTGTAATACCGGGTATTCAGAAACAATTTAAACTCTACTAATGGATAGATTACAGTTTTTGTTAGTTCCATTAGATGTCACAGTGATATTTTCTAGTTCTGCCTTCCTGCCTGACGTGTCGTCTTAGTTTAATTTTCATTGGTAATACTATATAGATATGTTTCTATAGCAGTGGAGCACAATCAAATTGTTTGTATTCCCCCAATGCACAGTGCCACACAGGACCATACTGAATTGCGCGACATTGTACATCTGATAATTTTGTACAATAGTCATCATTACCATAGCTGTAATGCTCTGACTCATGTTGTTTGTGCAGCACTTTTTTGAGGGTATTGAGGCCCGTGTGGCCCAGGGAGTGAAGGCAGAAGAAGTCGGGTACCAGATGTACAGATTATACAGATTTGTACATCATTACTGTTGTTGAAATGCTCTGACTCATGTTGTTTGTGCAGCACTTTTTTGAGGGTATTGAGGCACGTGTTGCCCAGGGAGTGAAGGCAGAGGAAGTCGGGTACCAGATGTACAGATTATACAGATTTGTACATCATTACTGTTGTTGAAATGCTCTGACTCATGTTGTTTGTGCAGCACTTTTTTGAGGGTATCGAGGCACGTGTTGCCCAGGGAGTGAAGGCAGAAGAAGTCGGGTACCAGATGTACAGATTATACAGATTTGTACATCATTACTGTTGTTGAAATGCTCTGACTTCATTTGTTTGTGC